CAGCTTAGAACTTTCGGTGGAACAGAGTCATTTAACCTCCAAATTTGAGTGCATGTACTCATTATCCTTAAGTTGTCAATTTAATCAGGAATATCATACTAAACCAGACAGTATGTAATTGCTTTACTTTTGCTTTTCCATGAAAAAGGGAGATTAGGAAGACTTGAGGAAAAGGCAGGACAAGTTGGGTCAGTCCTACACAGGTGAAAGGGGAGTTGCCTGGAGAGGATTCTGGCAATGCAGAACACAAGGGGCAGAGGTGGGCCATAGCTTTGTGGCTGGTCACACAGGGAGGCACCTGGAGAAGGAGAGCAAAGCTTGCTCCAGAGCACCCCTTGCCCAGTGAAGTTCTTACTTAGATGGAATCCAGGCCTGCCTTCTATCAGCTATGGACTCCTCAACATCTAGAACTTGTTTTATTTTTAAGGGGAAAATGTACCCTTGCTGGCGTGGCTGTGTTAGTTGAAGCATTGCCCTATACACCAAAACGTTGTGGGTTTGACTCCTGGTCAGGATACATACTTAGGTTGCAGATTCAGTCCCAGGTTGGGTAGCATATGGGAGGAAACTGATCGATGTTTCTAACATCAATGTTTCTCTCTCTCATTAATAAACACATTTAAATAAATGTATTAAAAAAGGGGAAAAAGAATTGATAATTTCTGGATTCTAATTTAATGCTTAGTTTTGGCTTTTGTTGCCCTCTTCCATTCCAGAACAGTTTTTCTCAAAGGAGCTCATGAGATATTCCTATCCATTTTATTTTGTGCCTATACTATATAAGATACTGTGCAAAATGTTTTGGGGCTATGAGAGATAAAGACAATTCTTTTTCTTAAGAAATGCAGCATCTACACAGGGATATAAAGTATAATGAAGGAAATATAATCAATAAGATTGTACAATAATGACCATGTATGGTACCAGTTGGGTACTAGAAATATTAGGGGGAACACATTGTAAAATATATGATTTTCTAACCACTATGCTGTATACCTGTGCCCCCACACACAAAGTAATAGTGAATGAAAACTGTAATAGGAGATAATTTTTTAAAAAATGAAATGCATCATCTATTTTGTGAATAACATGCATAACCAAAATGTTGTCAAGCATTACCAACCTGTGCATACTCATGAGGTCACATTTATAGTGGCTCCCAAATTTTGATGGCTTAAAACTCTATATATGCCCTATATATGAGATATGTAGTTATCTCTTAGAGTTTATACGGCAATTAGGGTCCCAGTAAGAAACAGATAACACATTCAGGCTGAAAAGTTAATAAAGGGGCTGTTTCTAAGAGGTATAATGATGGTTTAGGAAAAGCTATAAGGATGGTGCAGTACATATAAGCTAGCAGCAACAGGAGCTGTTACCCTTGGGCCTGAAGGGGCAAAGAGAGGAAGGGTTACCAGAACTTGCAGAGAGAGCAAGAGAGTGTGTTATGTGAAAAGGATCCCTTGGTAGAAGCTGAGAATAGTAAGGATGAAATCAGGAGAAAAATACCCTAGCCATATCTTGTCCCTCTGCACCTCCTTCTGGGCTCCTGGTGGTATTTACCATTTGTGAATCCAACTGAAGGCCTATGGGCAAGGAAACTCACTGGTACAGTCTATACAGGTACCCTTCCAGGGCACAGGGCGGAGTGGAGAAGAGTACAGAGTAGATTTGGAGGGTCAAATAGCAGATGTCAAGCACACTGATTTCAGAGAGTTCCTTAGTTGATGTCCTTCCTCTTCTGGTTTCTTTTGCTTAATACCCATGACCTGCAAAGCTGTCTAAAGGATCTTCACTGAAGCTGCTATGCATGGAGCCACTAATAAAAAGTCTGTAGTCCTTGCCAGTGATGTTCTCTTCCACTATACCTGCATTAGTCTGAATCCTCTGAGAAGCACATGCCAAGACAGGATTAAAAGTACAAGGATAATATTAGGGGAAGTGCCTAAGAGAGAAGCTGGGAATGAAGCTGGGAAGGCTGGGAGAGCTGTTAGAGAGTTAAAGAGAGAGGAATGGATGCATCCTAGCCTGCCATGTAGTTCTAAGGAAAGTTCTTCCAGGTCGGGGAGTCTTCAAGCCAAAGCCTCTATCACAGGAGTCCTATGTCTCCTCTGAACAAACCTACCTTACCTTTGCCATGTTCAGTTCTTGAGTGGGAGCAGCCTGTAGAAGTGTGGCCTTGGTCCAAATGTGGTGATGAATTTCAGAGCACAGCAGCTAGGTCCTTGCTCAATTATTCTCCCCATAATTGGAGATATATGAGGTTCATTCTCATACCACCCCATCCTCAAATTCCCAAAACTGCTTGTCCCCAGGAATTCAGAATGGTTTTGGAATCTAAGAGAAAGAGGTTGGAAAATGACCATCCTGTGTGGGATGCCCCATCCTGAGGAGATCTCCCGGCTACTGTGAATGAGAATAAGTCATCCTGGACACAATCTGTTGTTCCAGTGTGAAGGCGGGTGGCGATTCCCTCTAGTGGAGAATGCCCAGAGCCCTTCTCTGAAATGGCTTTTATTGGGAATGGTATGTGTAGGCGTATACATGCATAGTTCACCAATCAATGTCAAAAGGCTATAATCATACAAAAACAGGTATTATCTATAGACAACAATTAAAGGAACACAGAGATCTGCCTCAGGGTCTGTGTCTGTGTCATGCTGGCACCAGATGGTCTTTAAGACATGTTTCATGAGATAAGGAGTTTACTCCTTATGCCTTGAACTTAAACATCTGGTTTATATCAACAGGGCTATACAAAGCAAAGCAAGCTCCAAAGGGTACAATGTATTTATCAGGACTGATTTCCCATGGGAATCCTTGGTGTCAGTGTCGGGTCCTGCCTGCCACCTGTGTTTTCTGGTTTTCAAATGAGACTTACTGGCCTCTTTCAAGGCCTGCTCTCACAGGGTACAGTCTCCAAAACCACACAGAGAGGTCCCCAACAGTCTTGATCTCCCCAAGTTTGTTTTAGAAACCTGAGCAACATTTCTTTGTGTGTATGTTGAGATTTCATAAACACTCATGAAATAGCTTCCTGTGGAATGGTGTAATGTCTGGCGGTGGGTGTGGCTAACTATTTTGGGGTGGTAGAAGAACCATGTTTAGGCTGCCTTCTGAGGAGTGTTTATCTTTATTATTGGTCAGAGACCTGAGCTTAAAATTTCTATATGAGAGAAGGGGTCTTGCCTGGAGGTTGTGTTTGCATGGCAAACTTAGAAACATGTATACATTCAGGTGTCTTGAGGTAGAAGAGGGGGTTCACAGAGGGCAGTACTTGAGGGTCTCCAAACTTTCAGGTGGTATAGTTGATATCTGCTGAGTTCTACAACTTCTCTTTTTAGGTCTTAGAGCATGAAATGGCTCATTCTGCTTCATTGCTTTAACAGTAGAGTTTGATTACCCAACAGGAAGTTCCTAGAGCCCAGAAACCAAAGTCTTGTGTATCATTAAGATTCTTTTAGTCAAGAGTAGAGAGGTACATCTACCCATAAGAAAACTGGGGCATTTTTAGGATGAAGTATTGACAACTAGGTTACAAAAATAATTATAGATATCCACCATAGGCTATTTACTCAAGGATAGATGAGGTAAATTTTTGGAACCCTCTTTCTAAAGTAGCAAGAAATAAAACACGAGTTAAGTCTTCATCAGTAGACTCAACTACAATATAGGTAACTAATCTGATCATGAGCCTGTCTCCCCTGCCAGACAGCAAGCACTTTGAGGACAGAAACTGTGTTATATCCTACAAAAAAATAATTTTGAATCACCTAAGTGATTCATGAATATAATTTTTGTTGCAGAATAAAAAAAATTGCCAATAATTCTGAAATCTCACACCTGGTCTGTCCCTTCCTCTCCATACCCACATGCAAAGCACACAAATGTGGCTCCACTGATGCTTGTTGACCTGCATCGGAGGGTTCTAGAGTGGAAATTGTCTCAGTAGGTAGGCAGGGTAGAAGGGTGATTGGCATCCTGCCTGCTTAACCTAGCCACGCAACCTCTCTCTACACTGCTGGCTGCAGCTAGGAAAATCATTCTGCTTGTCACTGGTCGCCAAGCTGTGGTATACTGCAGATTCAGTGTAAACTTCCATGCTTTCTACAGGGTAGTTCCACTACTCTCATCAGAATTGTGTTGTATTTTTATAGTTTAAATACAGTCTTGCTGGAAGTGCTTCCCACGTCTACTGATTGTTCTTTCTGGTGGAAACTCAAGGTTATCAAATTCTACTGGGAAAACTCCTCTCTCAAAAGAAAGGAGATGAGAATTTCTTCTGGTCAGGAACCTCTGGGCATGGACTGAAGTGACTGAGTAGCTAGCTCGTGATGTACATAAATTGAAATGGGTGGTGGAATAGAGACAGAAAGTCAGCCATGGTATAGTAAGAAGGTTGTGTTGACTTCTAGGGCCCCTTTCTTCTCAGTTTTGTTATCAAGAGAAAGTCAAACTAATAACTAAGACCTATGGTCTGGGTTCTAGTAGAATATGATGGGTATAAGTTAAGGGCTTTCTCTTGGTGAAGAAAGCAAGAACAGGAGTGAGAGAGGAAAGTAAAATAGCAAAGAGGGCTAGTTGGTCCTTTCTTAGCAAGACTTTGAACAAGTCACTTCCTTTTACGGCTTCTTTAGACTCACATGCTTATGGTGAGAATGTCAGCCCGTAACAGGACACTTATGAGTCGTTCTTCTTGATGAAAAGCCAGAGTCTTCTCATAAGTGGGAATCAGCCCTCTACTGCTGCTTTTTCCTGGGTCCTGTGTTTGGTCACTGATTTACAGGCAAATTCTTTCAATCATTGAATGCCTGTTTGTCTTACTGGCTGGACTTTTACTTAAAATTCTTGTCTGGGGCACATGCAGTAAGTGGAGAAAAATGTAAGACACTCTTAAAAGACCCTGAGGAAAATTCCTAAATAGCTTATATTAATCATTAAACTTGCCCTAGGGTCCACTCTGAACTTTTACTTGGCACCCATTTGGCCAGGACAAACAAGTTAGGTGAGTTACAGTCCAACCTGAGTGAGTTACCTGAGCACTAGCTGCGGGCTGGGCTCTAACCAGATAACATGGCCACTGATTCTTGACAGAGACGAACAAGATCATTTGGAAAGGAAAGATAATTTCTCCCTTGAGTCACAACGAGGAAGAAACAGAAAAAGGTACTGTTTGATCAAAAATGCCTCTGCTGTCTGTTTTCTTGGTATTGTACCTCTTGCCAATGTTGTGGTGAACAAAATGAAATGGACATCAGTAGTGGCAACCTCGCAGCTCTGTTTCTCCAAGTCTCAAAAGAAAAACTAAATGGGGGAGAGGGGAGGAAAAGATGATGAGGAGAATGAGAGCAGAGGGAAGAGAGAATGAAAGTGAGAGAATACTTGACCAAATGCTCACAGCTCTCCTTTGATTGGAAATTTCCTGTTTAAAAGAATTAAGTGGAGGCTGAGTTTATCCTTAAGAAGAATTTGTGGATTAACCATATTAAGAAAAATTACATTCATTATTGATTTGATTGCTCTATTCTAGAGGAAAGATGCAAGTATGAATGTAAGGCTTTAAGAGAACCAGTGAATGAATATCTACCTCCATTGTTCTAAGTTTGGGAGTAATTGCTGAAATGCAATGTTAAAATCATACAGCCACATTGAAAATATGCAGTTATTTTTCCCATGCTGGGGATATTCTGTTGGGTGTAACAAGTAAGTTAGATCTCATGCTTGTAGACCGAGTTACAAACACTCCTGGGTACCTTTCTTTATGCATTAGGTGTATTTCTGAAAATTAAATGTTTTAAAAATGAATTGTATTCCAGATAGATGTACAAATTTAGGGACTATTGCAACTTAAAGAACCATCTGCCAAATCTGCTTGAAAATTTTAGAACTCCTTTCATAAATGCAAATATCCTCCACTCCTACCCCATCAGCTAGAGACTTGAGGGCAGGCACACAGATTATTTGTCTCAGTTTTCCCAGCTCCCAGCACAGTGCTCAGTGTATATTAGGCATATAATAAATGTTTGTGGATTTGAATTAAATATAGATGATTTTATATAGTATTGGACTATCTTTTTTTTTAAGATTTTATTTATTTATTTTTAGAGAGGGGAGGGAGGGAGAAAGAGAGAGAGAGAGAAACATCAATGTGCAGTTGTGGGGGGCCATGGCCTGCAACCCAGGCATGTACCCTGACTGGGAATTGAACCTGCGACACTTTGGTTTGCAGCCTGTGCTCAATCCACTGAGCTATGCCAGCCAGGGTATTGGACTATCTTAATCAAGATATACTTATAAATTAATTCTAAGTTTTTTAAAAATAATATTTTTCTTGGTATTTATTGTGGCTTTTATATTTTCTGAAATGGTGTAACTGTTTTTGCTGGTCTCAGTGTTTTCTTAAAAATTAAAGTTAAATGTATTTTTAGTAATATGTACATGTATTTAATTTTGTAAATTTTTTAGTTTCATAAGATTTCAGCCAGTATTTTTTATAGTATTAAATTTGTGCCTTCTGACTTGGGGGTGCCAGGGAGTAGCTCAGCAGCTTGCCAGAGCAGCCATGAGGGTGTTGTCTAAGGCATGTGGCTTTTCAGCCAGGCTTCCATGAATTCTGCCTGTCTCATATGTGTGTAAATTATTTCTTTCAGATTTGGTGAAGCCAGACTTAGATTATTTAAGTATGTATTCACCAGTTAGAATTTACTGAGTGCTGTGTGAGCTCTTTGCACTAAGAGGGGTATGGAAGTAGAGGTCTTCTCTGAGGAAGGGACAGTCTAGAAGAATAGCATATGTAATGCTGCACCATGTGGTCCAGGCTGCACAGGACACTAGCTGGAGGATCGTGGAGGGGAGGGTGATGAGAGCTAGCATGGCTGGTGTTGCGGGAGGATATGACTGCCTGTTCACCCCTGAGCTAGGCCGAGCCATGGGAGGATTTTCACCCCTCCCCTGTCCTTGGAATGTACTGTGGGCATTCCAGCAAGCCACTGATGTCCAATTAGAGGCCAGAACTCAAGTTAGAAGGTTAGATAGCTGAGGACTTGCACTTGTACACTTTGGGGCTAGCAGACAAGGTGTGAGGACAGCATAACAAGTTGGAGACATTAGCATGTTGTTATGCAAAGCTAAAAGGACACATGCTGCCTTGAATTAATATCTGAACAGGGATTCAGTCCCACTGGGGTGGGTTCCTCCCGTGCCCCAGGAATAGGGGACAGGCCAAGGTTGCCTCCAGGTGAGGGCTGTGAGAGTTGGTCAGAGGCCTCATACTGGGCTCACTTTTCACTGGCTCCCCAGAAATAAAAAGGTTATGTTCTTATTGATAGTGGCACTGAATGTACCATGATACATGGTAATTCTCAATTTTTTCTGGCTGCCTCAGCACCATTGATGGTTACTGAGGATCATGATTATGGCCAGGAAGGTCTCTTTGACAGTGCAAACTGGGCTTTCTCTTCCACAAAAATACAACATTTTTATCTCTTCATTACAGAGAACATATTGGGCATTGATATCCCACGTGAACAAACTCTGCAAACCTCTATCGTGAATTCTGCCCCAGGTTAGAGTTTTCGAACCAGTGCTGAGGAGAAATGCCACTGGGATCAGGTAAGTCTATCCCTCCCTCAAAGAAAGGTAACTGTCAAACAGCATAAACTGCCTGGAGGGGGCATAAGGAAATAGAAACAACTATCCAGGAACTGCTCTGAATGGGTATTGTATGCCCATGGTGCTTTCCATAGCTTGGTATGGAAATAACAAAGGCCAATAAAAAAGGCAGATGTCTCATGGAGGATGATCATGGATTACTGAGAGAGAGTTAAACAAGGTGGGGCCCTCCATCTGTGAAGCTGTGCCCAGCATTGCCACCATCTCAGATACCTTGGCTGTGATCTTAGAATTGTACCATGCTCTACTGATCTCAGCAAATGCTTTTTTTCCAGTATATCTCTAGCTGCTGAGTCACAAGATCAATTTGACCTCATGTGGGAGGGACAACAGTGGACACTCAAGTGTTTCTTCAAGGCTACCTGTGTAGCCCCACAGTGCGTCATGGGGTGGTAACCTGACATCTGTCTCTGTTCTCCTTCCCCTCGGCAGTAAAATAGGCCCCTTGTGTAGATGAGATAAAGGTGACACATGAGGACTTGCCTCTGCTGCAGGACACTCTGCAGACCTTGCAGGAACATCTGCAAGGGAGAGGATGGCAGAGAACCCACAGAAAAGACAGTGCCCAAGCATTGCCTTTAAGTTTTGGTTGGGCAAGGTACACATTGTCCCACAAGCTATGATTGATAAAATACAAGCCTATCCAGTTCTTAAGAATATAAAAGAGATGAAAGCCTCTCCCAGTTAACATGTATAGTATGCACAATATGGTCAAGTTCTTATAGCTATCAACCTCCTGCTTCTCATGGCCAGGTGGCCATGTTCTGTTTTCAACTGGTAAGAGCACTTGGCCACTGTCTTTGTTCCCTCCATTGACCTGGAGGACATTACAGGACACAGAAACCCTTACTCGGTTCACCCAGTGACCCTTAAATGATACCTGACAAAGACTGTCCTTACTGAACACTGAAGTGTCTCTAGTGAGAAAAGCTATCCTGTAAAATAGGATGGCCTCAGAAATCAGTGCTGCCTGCAAGGAGGTACTTGTGCCACATTCCAAACAAAATGTTATATTTTCATTCATATCTGATAAGTCTGCTAAAGATTAATAATGATTAATCTTTATTTAATCAATGAAGACACAAGTGAATGAATGAATGACCAGAGTGATCTGACCCCCAGCCTAGGGGACTTAATAAATCAGTGGTTCTAATCGTGGGGCTCTTGATGGGAAAAATTACTTACAGGTGAGCCTTGAACAACATGGGTTTGAACTTCATAGGTCCACTACATAAAGATTTTTTTTTTTCAATAAACACAGTTGGTCCTTTTTATCTGTGAGTTTTGCCTCTGTGGGTTTGGCATCCATGGATTTAACCAACCTGGGGTAGACAATAATCTCATATTGCCAACTGAAGATTCTAAATGCAGATCAAAGTTGTTTTTAGTCTGAGATTGGTTGAGCCTGCAGATGTGAAGAGCGACTGTAGTTAAATTTTGGGGGAGTCAAAAGCTATATGTGGATTTTTGATTGCTCAGGGGTTCAGCACTCCTAACTACCTCATTGTTCAGGGCTAAACTGCATTTTGGAAATCATTATCTTAATCTATGTTTTCTCTAGCATGTGCCTATGTTGTTGCTGTGGTATTTGTCTCCAATGGAGCCAGATAGCCTCTTATCAAACTACCTCTAGGCTAGTGAACTCTCTTGCTGACCACTCAGTTGCAGAAGAACAGGGTGTGTAAGATTATAAGAGGCAGTCATGAGGGGTGGACTGTTGGAGGATGTCATTAAGAGGGTATGCTGATGACTGACCCAGGAGATGGAAATGAGCAATTGGAGGCCCCTCACCCCCTCTCCTGTCTTTGTACTGTGAGTTCTGTCCTCTGTTGCCATAGTGAGAGCTGTTTTTCAAGGAGGCAGCTTTCAGAGAGTGAGATGTTGAAACCCTCTGGACATTATATGTGACTGAATCCAGTTAAGGTCTCTATGTAAACTTTTAAGATTCTGGTGGGTGCATGAGTGCAGAGATCTACTTGTCTTGCTGACACCAAGACAAGTCTCGTATGTAAGTTCCCTTGCTTATTAAACCAGCTACCTACCAATCAGGACTGGTCTGCCTGTTTCTTCAATCTCTCCTTGCCCTCTGCATTTGGGTGCCAGTTTATGAACCAACACCAGGAATAGATTCCATGAATGAAGAGTCTCCTTAGCTGGGCCATGAAGGAGGACTGGGGAATCTAGGAAGCAAATAGCAGGAGCCAAGGTAGAGGCTGATGTGTGGGAGGCTTCTTTGAGAGATGGTGGGGAGAACAGCTTGGCTGCAATACAAGGTTCACATTGGGGAGCAATGTGAGGGGAAGTTGGAAAGCTAGTGAGGCTGGATTGTGGCAAGACCGAAAAGTCAGAGAGAGGGCTTCCAGTGTAAATACAAAGCCCATGAAGGAAAAGCTAACTTTTTGTGGCTCCTTTGTGCCAGGCCCAGTATTAATTTTATACATATATATATATATAAAGTGATATGTATATTTATGGCCCTGTGATAATTTCTTTTTATACACACACACACACAAATGTATATATGAAGTGATTATATACACACACACACAAAATCTTCAGTTGATCTTGAAACAAATTCTACAGAATATTATTATTATTATTATTATTATTATTATTATTATTATTATATAAATGATGGTGGTTTTGCATTGAATTAAAAGATTTAAGCAGAAGAACAGCACAAGGACGACAGTGTTTAAGGGGAGCAGGCCTGGCATAGTGACATTGTGGAATGGGGTACAGACACCCTGGAGTCATGGAATCTAGTTCGAAGGGTCCAGCTTTTGCTTCCTCTGTTTCTTTCCTCACTTACTTTTCTACTGTGAGGATAACACAATTCTCCTGAAGTTCCCATTAGTACCATTTTCAACCCATTATCCTACTTAACATTTACTTGGTTAAACTCTTCACTTTTTTGTGTGTCCCCCCCTACCACCATGACTGAGACTCTTCCAAAAAACAAACAAACAAACCCTCCCCTCAAACCACCATTAACTAGTATTTATTTATTTTATATCTAGATTTAATAAATATCTAGAATTTATTTGTTAAAAAATTAAGCTTTTGTTCAATACTGAGTTAATGAGAGAGGTTATTTTTTTACCCAATTTACATATGCATAAAATAATTTGGTGGGATAAGGGTATGGGGTGAAATAGTGATACCTTTATATAAAATTCATAGGTTATCCTTTTCATCAGAACTTGGGAAGATGTTGGGTCCCTTTGAATACTCTAGGGCCATATTAGTATTACTTCTTTAGTTTCCTAAGATTTTTTTTTTAAAGATTTTATTTATTTATTTTTAGAGAGGGAAGGGAGGGAGATAGAGAGAGAGAGAGAAACATCAATGTGTGGTTGCTGGGGGCTGTGGCCTGCAACCCAGGCATGTGCCCTGACTGGGAGTCGAACCTGCGACACTTTGGTTCACAGCCCGCACTCAATTGACTGAGCTACGCCAGCCAGGGCTAGTTTTCCAAGTTTTAACATAGTAAAGTAATAGTATTTAAGCTAAAAGTTATAATAATTCTTATTTTATTTTTTATAAGGCACAAAAGTTATGGTGCTCCAATCAAAATTGAAAATATTTTTCATGTTTGAGCAATTTTAAGAGGATTGACTTAAGTAAACGAGATGATTGCTTGGCTGATGTCTCTGAAGAGTATTGAAATATTACTTTTGGCAGGTAAGTAGGATATATTTTGAAGGAATTATAGATAGAACACAACAGATCACATTCAGAACTGGTTATTTGATACTTATTATTTGGGGGGAAAGTGTTAAATAATTTGCTCTGGGTTTAGATTTTATCTGCTTAATAATTCTTTTTTCTGCTTAGTAGTTGAGGTTATATATTAAATAGTTATGAATATAAACTTTGATTTTTAATGACCAGTGGAGGTTGCTTTTATAGTCTAGAGCTTAACAATAACAATAACATAACTTTTCTTTTATAATTCCTTTTCAGGTCATATGATGTAATTTTTTTAGGTTTTATTGTTTTATCTTCCCCATGGGAATAACTTTTCATAGAAATTAATGGCCACTCATATTAAAATCTCTTTCTTAAAAAATTATGTCTCCAATTGTCTCTGTGAATCTAGTTATCCTCATATAATCATTTTATGGCTTTTGCTTTTGGTTTTCTTTATGTAGAAGTATCTAATGCACCTCTGAGGTGTAAACAAGGACTGGTCTTGCTGGGCTGCCATGAATGGTTGTTTTGATGGAAATGATTTCCCTCTACCCTTGGTTGTGTGGTGCACCACCGGGAGAGCTGCACACGAAAGCCCCAGGCTAGCCAGAGTTAGGTGGCCTGGGTTATCACTGAACTTTTCTAACATAGAAACTGAAAGTTGTTCTGTAAATAACGCTTTTCTTATCTGTGATCTCACTGAGTAGCTGACTGATGTGTATTGGCTTTCTGGAATTGGCTTTACTTTGACCAACGCATGTTTGGGAGCATCTTCAAAGATGAATGACTAATTAAGGTCATATGCAGCCAATGGTCTCTATAGGAGAATACAACCTAACCTCGCATGTGCAGTATATAGTGTTTTATTTTTCATTTTAAGGAAATTCCAGCATGGATCCATGCTTCAGACCCCCTCTGTACAGTCAAAGCAAAAATCTAGAAATTTTCTTTTATTTATTTGGAGTCATTCTGATCATGTATTCAAAACTAGGGGGAAACCAGAGAATAGTGTACTGAGCTGGAAGGTTAAAATAGGGACAGCTTCTAGAATTTTCTCTTCTTCTCTAGAGGGAAATAGAAGTACAAGAAATAAGTGGTGATGTTACAATTGAATATGACTACCTTATTAAAGAGTGGGAGACCTGGCTGGAGTAGCTCAGTGGATTGAGCGCGGGCTGTGTACCAAAGTGTCGCAGGTTCGATTCCCAGTCAGGGTACATCCCTGGGTTGCAGGCCATGACCCCCAGCAACCGCACATTGATCTCTCTCTCTCTCTCTCTCTCTCTCTCTCTATCTCTATCTCTATCTCTATCTCTATCTCTATCTCCCTCCCTTCCCTCTCTAAAAATAAATAAATAAAATCTTAAAAAAAAAGAGTGGGAGAGAGAAGAGATATTCTGAGTTGAATTAGGTATTCAAAGTGTTCTTGAGGCTCTTTACAGAGAAAGTAGAAATTCAGGGTTGTGCTGGTGAACACTGGGTTTCAGTTGTCTAAGATGAGAAAATCAGTCAGAACTTTCCTTCCAATAGGAGTTTTGAGGGTCCGGTCCCTAGACCAGGAGCACCAGCAGCACCAGCAGCACCTGGTCAGATACGTAAATCTTGGGCCCTAACCCACACATGGTGAACCAGAAACTCTGGGGGTGGGGCCCAGGAATATGTGCTTTGTCAAGCCCTTCTGGAGATTCTGATGAATGCAAAATTTTGCTTCATAACACCAGAGAAGCTAGTGGCTCGAATCTGACCTTTAAAACCAGTGTCCTTATTTATTTGCAGTGCCTTGCCTGAGTTTCCACACTGAACCTGAAGAAGGTAGCCTTGCAGGGGGAACGTGGATCACAATCATTTTTAATGGTAGGTCTGTGTCTTACCAGATGCAAGTTTCTTAATTATTAATCTGAGAAATCCTAAGGAACATGAGTTTGTGGTTTTCTTCCTTGTCTAAGGACAGGTGTAAAAGAGGGCCTGAAGGGAGATGGGCCAACTGACCATCTTCTGTGTTTCCAGATGCTCATTTGCTAATGTCACAGAAGCAGAGCACATTATCTGCTGTGTCCACTTTCTCATCCCAAGCTGTGGGATGGGACTCTATGAAAGCTAAGTGAGATATGGAAGCACTTAGCATAGTACTTGGCAATGTGTCCCCCTAGAACCTTGGTTATCCTCCTTTTAGATAATTTGATACATGGGGGCTTCTAAACCATGGCTTAGTGGATCCATTTCTACCACAGTAAAGAGTAATTTTAAGGGCTGAAGTATTATTTCCTGGATTTAAATGGATGAGCTTGAGGAGATAAAACTTTTTAAATAAACTTATAAATGAGAACACTCATTTATATCACAGTCATAAATGTCTTCGGAAATGAGGAGTCTTAATTTAACCCTTAGGCAAACTCAATGTCTCACATTGCCCCCCTGTGGCCATGTTTTTATATTCTCCTGTGTGGATCACAACTCTGCTTGGCTGAGATTCTCCTTTTCTTCATGTTTAGATTTGGAGTCCAGTCTCCTTTATCCCGCCAATGGCTCTCAGCTGGAAATACACCTGGTGAGTGTGGCTGTGCCTGCCCTGCCGAGCATCCCCTGTGACGTCTCCCCACTCTTCTTGGACTTGCCGGCGGTCATGTGCAGGACAAGGTATACCTGTCCCAGGATGGGAAGATCAGACAGGCCAAGTGCTTGGCTTATCTCAGTGGTTTTTGGTGGCAAATTAGAGCCATGCCTGCTGTGACTGCAATTATCTGCTATAGTTTTTTAAAATGTTCCATGTGAATATATTTCTTAAAAGGTCCCTATCAGGGCCCTCGGGCTTAAGGGAGGATGAGAATATAGTGACAAATTTTGAGGATTTTAAGATATTTATAAGGAGGGGCTAAACTGTGTTTGCAGCTTTTCTTTCTTTCTTTTTTTTTTGCATGGAGCTCTAAAGCTATTAAGATTTCAGTAACTGGTGCCATTTTGCCCTCTAAAGAACCCATCATTTGGAATAGGCATAATTGTAATGACTGTACATAAACCCAAAACCAGCTAGCAAGGAAATTCGCTTTAGTCCTTAGTGTGTTTGCTGAGTTTAATATAATTTGTATAGCATTCCTGGTAATCTATTGTTCTACTCAAGTTTATTTTAACCTATGAAGTTTACACTAGTGACTTTCAATTTTTAAAAAACATTATATATACATATATTTATATATATTTTGTGGAAGGACCCAATCTTTAGAGTCTAATAGAGGAGTGGTCAAAAATGAAACCTAGGGATCCTCCAGTTAAGTTTAGTTCTGCTTCACAAGGAGCAGGGAGGAAATCTGACGTAGTCGAGTGGGGCTGCTAGCTTTGGCAATTCAGTTTTTGGTTCACAAGGATTTCCACTTTCTGCCCTCAGGTCTCTGCTGCCTGAAACACATGAGGGCATGTACCGCCTGGAAGTGCACTCTGGGGGGCAGGTGGTAGGCAGCCCAAGTCCAGGACTATCAGATAGCTGTACTTTCAAGGTGGGTTCTAAGGATGGAACAATGTGTTTGCTTGGTTTGAGGGTATGCTTGTACTGTCAATGTGTGAGTTACAAATGAGGCAGGGCATCTGCTTCACCAGTATAAGAGGAAAAGTGGGTGGTAGTTATGAGGTTTCTGAGATTGGAGTAAGGAAAGATAAGTATTGAGTGCTTGTGTATCAAGCTCTGTGCTTTATGCACATTAATTTAATAATCACAATGATTTCATGGGGTAACTATATATTATCCTGTTTTTATAGATGAGCAACCTAAGGATGAGGGTGATTAAATAATTTGTCCTTGACATAAAAAATTTGCCCAGGTATTAAATGGCAGAATCAGGATTTGAACCTGCATCTGACTCTGATCCTCACCTAAGCTAAAGCCCACAGAGGAGCCACAGAGATCAGCAGTGTACACATCAGTATTTTGTGTTCCAGCTGCGATCAGCCTGAGTCTCAGCATGGCGAAGGGACTTGGGGACCCAACCTCTTCCTTCCTCTGTACTTCACAGTTGATTTCTACTACTCTTTCTAATCCTAGACTTAAAGGCATTTTGCTGGTGGAATTCTCCTTCAAGCTCAGAGTTAAAAGGAAATGAGAGAGAGATGGAGAGGGAGAGAGATTATGAGATAATGCCTGAGTTATTTTAGAGACTCCATATGCATACTGGGGTTTCATTTTTCTGTTTCGTTCACTCTACTGTACATTTCAGATTAATTTTATACCAAAATAATCCCTGAAAATGTAGGTCCTAGACTTCTTATAAAAAAAGGCAGAGGTTTGGTAGTGTTCCTTTGACATGGTGGTAGTTCTCATAGGGTGCCTCTGTTTATAAAAGTACAATATAGTCATAAGTTATTCCTTCTTTAGAATGAGACTTCAACTTCTAAATTCATCTCTAATATGATTCACAATTTAGGAATTTGCTGTCAATTCACATTTACCAAATTGTTTCTTACTCCAAGAAATCTTCCCTTCCAGAATTTTGCTTCTGCACATAAGCACAGGAAGAAAAAAATCATTCTTTATTATTAAGACCCACACCACCACCTCTGCACAGTCTCCAGTGAATGTAACAGAAGAGATGGCTGAGCTTATGCCTTAAATCACCATGTACGCTGCTTTGGGTTTTAATGTCCTTTCACCCCAGATAGCAGTTTTCCTACTAATGAAAGATTGGAAAGGAGAAGTAGGGGAAAGAAGAGAAACAGTTTCTGAAATTGCACATTAAAGCAAACAAGTCCTTCAGTGGTTCAACCAGCTTGGCACGTTGATGAAAAATCACCGGGGGATGCAGTTAATGAGAGGCATTCCAAGCTAAATAAAAACACGGTGTGTCTCTTTGTTTTGGGACTGGGGCTGGGAGAACCATGAGTATTAAAAATTAATTCCATCTTGCCAGTCCACTCCAAAGTGCCTGCTGCAGGCACTGACAATTTCAACAACTCACAGAAGGTTTATCCAACAGCTGGTGGCTGTGGCTTTGTCATTCTAATCCCCTGCTTTTCCTTCCCCCACTCCCTTCGATCTTGCTACTGCTGGTCTGACTTCATCTCCAGGATCAGCATGTGGGAAGCTTGATTTGGAAGCTCATTAATTTTTTACTTTGTCGTGTCTCTAGCTTGGTGGGTGACCAGGAGCTTGTTTCTCTTAGAAATGTAACATCTTATGTTGTGTCAGCTGAGAGAGAATCACGAATGAAGCTTATTTTGAGGTTGAGCTCCGAGCCTGCCCCGCCACGGTTGGAGGAATTGGGAGGAAGTGATAAAGGAATCCCTCTATTCACCCCCACACACTTCCGATGGAAGGCTTACAGACGAAGTGATAGATTTTATATCTCAAGTTGGGAATCAAGGGGTATGTTTCCTTAGTTGATTTGGACTGAGTTGTTCTATCTGCCTCAGTTTCTAACATCTGTGTGAAGGAGAAATAACCATTAATCCACTTTATGAACGTGGAGAAAAAGAGGCTGCACACTAAACCTGACAAGCTCAGAGGAGGCCTGTGTGGTGGCCTTGCTAACTTGGAGACCTATAGTAACCACAAAGGATGGTCTTAAATTAAAACCTGTCAACTGAAAGCAGCGTAAGGCAGGTAGTCTTGTCCTAGGCTGAATTCATCTAGATGAAAGTCATTCTGTTACCAGTGACAGGCCAACTGTTACCAGTTCAGGAGGGGCTCTTGTGGTATCTAAAGGAAAAGAATTTCATGAGACACACACGGGAATAGTTTATTGACCATGTGCAGTTAAGGGGGCTCCCCTCCTGGTTTGTCTCACCATGGGAAAGGCCTGATCTTGTCTTCCACAGGGCCAGGATGAAGGCCACTTGCCCAGAGTTTATGCTCTGTATCAAAGTACAGTCCAGTCCCGCATCTGGCTAGCTGAGTGTGTGTTTCCAGTTGTAGTCCATTTCAAGCTCCCTCCCGGAGCCTGCATGTGGAGTTGCATGGCCATGGGCCACATGGCTCTTAGGGCCATGTGACAATAGAGAGGATGTGTGAGCACAGGGGGCGAGTGTGGGTCTCCTGGGAGAGAGGGGGAGAGAGAGAGCTATTGTACAGGTATTGCACCAGAGCACCAGGGTGGAGATCACAAATCCCCTCATTTTTGTTGAATTAATTGTTGATTGTTAACTATCCTATACCTGCCTATGTGAAAAAAGTATGTGTCTTTTATTCTACTTTCTCAGAAGTTTCCCTGCTTTGCTCTCCCCCACCTCCCTAATCTATCACCAGTGGCCTTCACGTAACCCACTTATGTCCCTTCTTTTGGTTGTGATGCATAAAGCAGGGTGCAGAACTGCCATTCTCTGGAGCACTTTCTCAATCCCTTGAAGTTTTGCTTCCTGGCAATTGCCATCAGTTTGGCTCAAATAAACTCATAAAAATTCTTACAGGTTTGGGCATTTCTTAAACGGACATGAGGGTCTTATAATAAAGTTCCAGTGGAAATGACCATGCTATGTAGGGCGCACCGGTGGGGAATGAAGGCCTGGGTGCAGAAAGGGGCTGTGAGCCCGCGGCAGGGATTGTGTGTTTGGCAGGTGTATGTGGACTTTCATTAATCTTTATCTTTTGGTGAGGTTGGAGCCAGTGATCACAACATTCTTATTTTGACCCCTGACTCTTCTGTGAACTATTTACTAACCCTTTCCTTTACAAAGGGAAAAAATTCGTTTTGATGGCAGATGGCACAGCTGTGTGGATCAATACTTAAAACTGCACTTGCTGAGCCGTCATCAGCTTTGTGGAAATGTCTGTTGGTTCTTGATGTCTGATTAGGGCTGTTGATTAACGAGGGAGTTACTCTTTGATAATATTCTCCCTGGGAAGGTGGACTCCTGGGGTGCTGGAAGCAGACCAGGCAAAACAATTTGCTTGTCTTTGTGTTGCAAATGGAATGCACTGCAGGCTGTAGAGAAGGGTGATGGTGCTTTAGGCAGCTGGAGGAGTTTGGGGGAGGATGGCCAGTCTACTCTTCTGCCTCTTTGTTTCTTCACACTGGCCCAGGCACCTTCCATTTTCTCCATAAACACCTCATTTGTGTGGCTGTCCAACTTCCAATTTTTTGTAGTTTGCTATTCCCTGCCATCATGCTGGCTAATAATGGCTTAAATTGCAATCCTTTGAATTTAAATAAGCAAATTATTATGTAGAAAAAAACAACTTTCAAGATCCCAAGATGCCAAGTTATAATAATGGAATTGAAAGGTTGGCATTTAAAGTTGTGTCCTGTCTATCTCTCCTTCTGGTGAAATGTGTTTCTGGGTCTGGCAGGTAGAAACAGGTTTGCTAAGGCTTGGGCAACATGGTATGAGAAGGTCTTCTATGACCTTTCTGAAATTCCTTTACCTCATTTGTGGAAGAGCTATAATAATATCTGCTATCTCTGCTTCATGGAAATATTATGAAGAAAAAAAGACATTTAAGATGGTTTGAGGAAACATATCAGTTATGACCTTCGCTGAATGCTCCACGAGGAATGCCTTGTCCTTTTCGTGTTTGTGATTGTGGTATTCTAATGAAATGCTCACTTGTGGTAACATTTTCAAAACAGTTTTCCAGGGCACAGACACCCATTGTTTACCAAGTTAACCCACCAAGTGGAGTTCCAGGTAAGAAATCTCCTACAGAGACAGGAATAACTATGAATTCCTTTGCCCAAGCTCCTTGCAAACCCTTCTGCCCAGATGGGTGGTCTCCATAAATGAGAAATTTTAGCTTCTTCTCCAATGCTGTTTTGAAAATAAGTGTCAATCTCTGGTTTATTTTTAGTCTGGTTTTGTTTCAGCTCTGGGCACTTTTGCTCTGTTAGTTCACTGATAACAAAGGAATCCACACATGAAAAGAAAAAGAGGCCAGCAAAATCAAACCAGGTGCTGCTGGAGAATGCAGGAAATAGGAATCGTCATTGCTCGTAACTTTATAATTATCCACATAATAGCAAAGCTTTATTGAAAATTACTGTGAGCCAGGTTCTGTTTAAGCTTTTGGTACATATTATATTATCATATCCTCACAAGAACCTGATGATATAGGAACTATTATTATTTCTACTTTGCAAATGATGTAATGAGATACCAGAAAGGTAAGAAACTTGCCTAAAGTCGTGCCGCTAATAAGTGTACAGCTGAGATTTGAATGGAGATAGTTAGAAATCAGAGTGGGCCCATGTGCTCAGCATTTTGTCCCATGTTGAGCAGGGTTGGGTACCACATGAGGACGGTTAACTCTGATCCTTATCCTGGGGGTTTGTTATGAGTTAGCTCACAGATAAGCAAAGGCCAACAGGACAGAAGAGAAGAAGAGAAAGATGGGGTTTTACATTAAAGAAGGGATCGCAACTAAAAGATCCAAGAACTGCTAAACCTGCTTTAAAACTAAGTCACAACCACAGCTAGGATTATATATAATTTGCTGTCTGACTTTTGGCAAATTTTTACATCTATTTTAGGTTTTTAGTTTGTTCAGGATTTCCAGATGGTATAAGTATGGAAATACATGTTGCCAAATTTTTAAATATGTGATTGTGTACAAATGCAAAAACTAACTAGATGTTTTGAATGGCTTTACTGCTCAAGAATGTCAAATGAGTATCTGAGTTACTAAAAAGTATTTGCTCATGTGTGTATTAACACAGATTATGTGTGTGTGTATTTAAATGATATCCAAAGGAATAGAAATTCAGCTTTATCTTATTAATGTGAGTTATTCACAGATCTGTTTCCTTGTATATGCCTGAGTAATCAAGACATTATAATGCGTTATTAAAAAGAGATGTGGTCTATGTAAATCACATGCAGACACTGGGATTTCTGCTGCTCTGGTATTAAAAAGCTCCTGTCTCTATGAGAGAAGTCTCCTTAGGGTGAGGGATAAAGAAGGAACCAGCCTTTGGGAGTGTGAAATGGGATGTCAGCAGATACCCAGATCTGTCAAGCGCATTTCTCCCACTGGGTTTGACTCCCACACACTGTCTCTTCCACCTTCTGAGTGAACAATTGGTGACTGGCCTGCTTGGAGTGGTCCCTCCGGGCAGGATCCACCCCGCTGATCTTTGAAATCACTTTCCAGATGATTACTCTCATTTCATTTGGGAAGCCTGCCCAGAGTAGCAGCCAGGGAGATGGGGGAAGTGGTGGGGACAGCAGAGACGACGTTTTATGAGCAGTTGAATTTTTAAATGTGCTTAACAGTTGTTCACTGTGACGCAGGATCCTCCAGCATTGTGGTCTGGCTTAGCCATTTGTCAGATTTTGTTGGGCTCTCTCTCTCTTTTTTTTTTTAAGAAGCAAAACAGAAACTTGCAAGAATTCTTAAATTTTATAAGCTGTTAAAAGTTTCTAAAATTGTGCTCATCAAAGATAGAAATCATGCCCACTAAAGTCAGGAAATTGATAGTTTAGCCCTACTAAGGTGAAGGAGAATTGTTTCTCCACTTTCTGTCAGTAGCAGAGAGCTTCAGAGGCTGGGCTTTGGCCAGTTCTGTGACCTTCAAGTCATTAGGTTCCCTCCCTTTCTGCCCATCCACCTGTAAAGTGGGGGTAATACTTCCTGGAAGGTTCCCATTGTTTTAGTGCCAGTTGGCTAGTGAGTGCAGAAGAAAGTCACTTCCCATTAATAAAATGCAAGCCCAACTTGAAGGGAACAATTTCTCGGTACTGTTCTCTAATGGCCATGAAGACACTCAAAGTCCTGAGTTCAGTGACCTCGTGAACCCAATAGGTGCCCTTTACTTTTCCATTTTTGAAGTTTTGCCTCAATAACCAACACCTCTCTCATGTCTAAATACTGTGTGTGATGCTGAAAGATTACAGTGTAGATGGTGAAATTCTGTGATTATTTGGGAGGCATGCTCTTCCAGGTCAAGGGGCTGTTTGGTGATCTTTAACATCATCCCTTCGCTGTGGTGTATTTGCTAAAAGATGTGCCTTGTGCAGTTCCACAAAACTGAGTTTTGGGGTTTTCAACTATGGAAGTAGTCAGTTCATCTAGGGGCCCCCAAACTCTTTCTGAGAAGGGGCTACTTTTGATTTCTTTCCCAACTCTTGTAAGCAGTGGGGCTAGGAGTAGTGCTGAGTGACCTTGCTAAGAGGAGGTTGCTGATGCCTGTAACTCCATTCTTATGAACTTGAAGGAGAGTATTAAGGAAAAACTTAATGCTAATGGGGAGCCCTGCAAGTCACATTGAGGAAACCCAGCAAAAGTCATCCGTGTTGCAGCAGGAGGGCACACACCAGCCATTTGGGGGTCCCCAATCTGCCCTATCCTTGAACATGAGCATGCTTCTGAAATGAACAAGACATGCAATTGCCCCCCTTTCAATCCGTGATTCTGCTGCTATCTCATGTTCTCTCTCTTTGTTCTTATCCATTTGGGTCAATCATGATATTTATCTTTTGTACTCTCAGATATGGAAAAATTTTAATATCCCTGAATACCCTTCCAGATCATGTGATATGAGCCCCCTCATATTGCAAGGGTGTTCATATTAGCAAGTTTCCAGAGGAAAGTCTCATGAAGGGTCGAGTGCCCAAGGCATGCTGTTCTCCAGTCCCACATCGGGTGTGGGGTTTGCACTTAGGCGAACAAGTGGGACAGGGCTGTGTCGGAAACGGCCTCCTCCTCTCGAAAGCCTCATGCTTCATGGGACTGTGAGGAAGACCCACTATTCCTTCTATGCTCCATCATAGACCATTAAGTCTGTAATTACAATAATTGGTTATTTTAGTCTACCTAGTCTGTAGTATTGACCACTGGATCATATTTTGTGATCCTTTCTAGCTGTATGATTTGTAAAAAAAGTAAGTATTCTGAGTCATGACCAACTTGGCCATATTGAGTAGATGTACAAAAGAAATATAGTTTATGTTATATATTTACAGTTTAAACTACATGTATTCAACTGAAAAAAACCTTCTCAAAACAGGACAACTGATACATGTGTATGGATGGATTATCACTGGAAAATTGGAAACCTTTGATTTTGATACTGAACACATTGATAGGTAAGAGCGTATTGGTTTTGACATATGACTAGTTACAAATATGCTCTGTTGCTTCCAGGGGCCAGCTTCTCCAATAGCAATAAATTGTAGGCAGTTGGCACAGAATTGCTTTTTTCCTCTTTACAGTTTATGGTCCCTGGTGAGCAGGGATTCAGCAAACTTTGTTAATGTAATTGTGACTAGTCGATTAAGTTTGTCCGTTTATTTACTGATAACTACTCACTCCAGGCTCAGTGTGAATTGTACTGTAATTGCATCTGTGGATTTTCTTTTCTGATTCTTACCCTCCCCTCTTTGTTTCTCAGGATGAAATAAATTCTTTAAAAAATGATGTGTGAACCCAAAAGACAATTAACTTCTTTGCTTGGCTGTTATCCATTTGTGCATTTAGAAATGCTATTAGTGTGATCAGTGGAAAAATGGAAGAAGGTTCTGAAAGCCATTGAGTCTTCAATGTTTTCTGGGAGTGATTAGGATGTCAACATGACTTTTTTTATTGGAGATTTAAAAACAATGGCATGTGTTACTATTAAATCATTCATGCTTGCAAGAGGGGAGAGCAAGGAGGCTGTTGAAGTTGTGATGTTTGTGGGAAGCTCTAAGCAACAGTGGTATTGAGCCTATGAAACACTACACTGAGAATTTATAAAGTAGAAGGAACATAACTTTACTATATTCTTGCCTCAGTAGATTCTATATACTGTGTCTAATTTTTCCTTTGCCCCTGGACAGGATGGGGAGCCCTCCTCTGTTCTGATTTCTCTCTTTGATTCGTTCCTAGTTGAAGAGAACGGGGTTTGACTACTCTCGAGACCTATTTACTAGTGTTAAATAATAGTTAACTGGTCTTGAAAGAAAAGTATTCTTCCCATGGAAGATAGATGCCCAAAGCACACCACTGGCAATATACCGTACTCACTACTTGGTCCTATCTCTTGGATAGATAAAGTCTTGGTTGAGATACAGTCTTTGAAAGGAAGAACAAAGGTAGAAAACTCTGCTATAGCTTTGTGTAGACCCACAATAATCAGTGTGGAGATGATGAAGATTTTTGGGAGAGAAGAAATGGTCCTTCTTTAGCATGAAAGGATGAATCATGAAACAGTGCTGTGCACCCCTGTCTTCAGGCTGAGAATTTATTTCCACATATAGTCAGGGGGCAGACTTCAGCCACCTGCAGTAATGCCCCGTATATTCAGAGGAGAATGTTTATAACAATGTTTCTTCTGAGTTTTGCCTAGAATGTTTGATGGAAGTGTTGCATTATTATTGTCTCTTGTATTTTTTATTCTCTTTTTTCATCCAGCCCATTGATCTTGGAAGCTCAAGGAGACAAATGGGTTACTCCTTGCTCTCTTGTAAACAGGCAGACAGGAAGCTGGTGAGTGTCTTTTCTGCCAACATATATGCTTTTAGGTTCTTCTGCCTAGTGTGAAACACACTCACATGCATGCACAGAGCTATTTTTAAATATAAATTACCCATAACTGCTGAATGCTTTATCTTTAGACTAACTGGAAAAGGCATGGTAATTGATTCAAACTGATGCAAGTTGGCGTGAATTCTGAAACTTTTCTTGAAAACAATAGTTACTACTACTAAGTGCTTACAGTAGGGCAAGCCCTGCCCTAATGCTATACATTTAAGCCACTCAGTAGCCTTTTGAGTACATATGGTTATTGGTCTCACTTTACAGATAAGGAAGCTGAGGCACAGAGAGATTAAGGAACTTGTCCTATGTCTCACAGAGAATGGCAGAGCTAGGGTTTGAACTCTAACTGGCTAACCGGCCTCCAGAGTTCATGCTCTTAACTACTATACTATGATGACTAGCTAAAGAAAATAGTGAGTAAAAGTTATTTATTTATTTATTTCAATGATAATTTTAAAAATATGTGTCTACATGCTTATAGTTCAGATAACCAACATTTTTGCTGGACTTTCACTTCACTCTGGACCAAGTGGATTAGCCTTTCTTTGAGGTCATCACAAGAATTATCCTCTATGGCTTAGCTCTTTAGGACTAGAATTTAGTAGAGCCAAATTCTGTAATGCGTTTTTTTCCTTGGTGTCTGAAGTTTGTTTGCTCAGGATTGTCATTTTGGGGGTTCACATTTGCTAACAGATTTTTTTAATAAAAATTTTGCTAGCCTTGCCCTAAAACAGGTTTTGGAAAGACAGGACTAAGTGGAGAGTAGGAATAAGTAAGATGTTGTCTCTCACACTGGGATTTTACTGGTGGCAGATGAGATGGCAGCTCTAGTCAGCACTACTCTGGGCATTTGCTCCAGTGAGCTCGTTATACTTTCAGTATCTACCAATCTACTGATTTTCTCTGGCTGATTTACTTTTATTTTGTTTTTGTTGTTGTTATTATTATTATTCTTTTCCATTTTTGGCTAATGAATTGGAATGTCTGAACTGAGGTGTGTGGTAACCACCACCTGAGGTGTTTGGTTCTTTCCCAAGGTACCCTATTCAGGAAGCCCACGGTCTTGGCACTCTGCAGTGCCGTGTGGAAGGCAACTATATTGGTACGTCTGAGAAGTATCCATTTTAAAGTCTTATCCATTTCTTTCTCTGTGTCTGGGCAAAACTCTTTCAAGAATTGGCTTTCATGATGATGCTAATAGTAACTATTTGTTGAGAACTCCCTGAAAAGCCCTATATAAAGCAGTTCAAATATAAACTAATTTAATCCTCACAATAAGGCTGTGAGGTTGGTGGAATTATTTTTGAGTACAGGTGGTAATTGAAGCTAGTAGCTAGTGGAATAGGATTTTTCAGTTGGTTTAAGTCTATAAGCCTGAGCTCTTACCTGCTCTCTGTGACTATATTCCTTCCTTCCTTCCTTCCTTCCTTCCTTCCTTCCTTCTTATTTTCAGAGAGGGGGAAGGGAAGGAGAAAAAAAGGAAGAGAAACATCAGTGTCTGAGAGATACATCCATAGGTTGCTTCTCACATGCCCCCAACTGGGGACCTGGCCTGCAACCCAGGGATGAGCCTTGACTGGAAATCAAACTGGTGACCTTTCAGCTTGAAGGCTGGTACTCAATCCACTGAGACACTCAGCCAGGGCTACATTTCCCATTTTTTGTTGGATGTCAAGAGTGTTGATGGTGCAAGTCTAGGAGGTGTTTATTTGGGCACCATTGAGGAACTTACAGGGTTGGGTCATAACTTGGTATCTGGAGTCCTTGGGTTAATGGTGGCCATGGCCTGGTCCTGGTGATTCAAGCAGACTCCTGTATTAATGTCTGTTTCTTTTTGCTACAGGTTCTCAGAATGTTAGTTTCTCAGTATTTAACAAAGGAAAGTAAGTAACTAGGAGTAACCAAATTTATCTTCATATTGTATTATCTCTCTCTTGTCATGCTTACTTTCTTTAAACTTGTATAAAAGTTTCAAACATACATGGACAGAAGAGAATAATAAAACCCTGTGTATCCACATGATTTTTTTTGTTTGCATGAGTATAACTGTATCCTATGCTCTCATCCCGAGATGATGTATTTGAATGTTGTGATGGTGCTGATTTTGGGAAGTACCTCATGAATAATCTCATAACACTAAAGTTAAAACAGGACAGGCTTTCATGGAATACACTGTCCCATTCCAGCGACTTCATGATGGAAAGGGTGTCAGTTGCATAGAGCTCAGTAGATATAAATTAGAATTTAAAACTTCTTTCTGTATGACTTATCTCATGTCCTGTCACTATATAACTTGACAGGCGTTTTTCTTAAAAGTGCGTTGTCTAGATAATATCGATTTTGCTGTGGTGGTGGTGACCCGTTATCCACAGCCACACAGCACAAAGCACAGATATTCTCCCTCTCTCTGAAGCTGGGGAGAAATGCAGCTGATATCTGTTGGTTATCTTCTGTAGGCCAGGTCCAGGTCAGGCCCTTTCACATTCATCACTCCATTTCATGCTTCTGTTACTAGGTGACACTGGTATTATTATTCTTACACAACCATTTTCTAGATCAGAATATACACTTTGCCCCATTGGTATCATTCTCCAGGAATCAAAAGGAGCTGGTATTTAAACTGTTGTAAAGATTTACTGGAGGTTAGTTCACAGTCTCCCTTCTGGGCAGCCAGTTTTTTAAAAAAATGCATTTCAGATGCTGTGTTCATCCAAAACACAATTTTGTCTTTTTTGAAGGTCGATGGTACACAAGAACGCATGGCTGATCAGTGCTAAACAGGACCTTTTCCTGTACCAGACACACTCAGGTACTATCCCCTTCTCCCTGTGCTCCTCAGGCCTTCCCTCGCACCTCACTGGAGGCTGGGCCCCCTTCCCTTTCTTCCGGCCATTCCTCCATGACCGTTAACATGTGAAGCTGTCCCTACAATCACAGATGACCCTTTCATTTTTGGTGATAATTGTTGCTTGTATGAAAGTCATTTTCAATTGCTGTATTAAAAAGGCTCAATAACAGATGTCTATACAAAGTCCCTGGAGACAGATGAAATAAAGGGGAGCCATCCTTGTTTCATGTTCTGAAAAATAACAGAAAAGAGGCAGCACTGAAAAATCTAAAAGCATATCTTTTTAGTTACTTTATTATATCACCTCTGGGTGTTTATTCAACAATTCATGTCTTGCTGACACTGATGCTAAGCTATTGTGTTGCTATTGATGAGGAAACCTTCATACTGAAAAAACAAATGCTGAAATTCAGAAACTGGTATAAAATTGTGAGCTCAGTTCACTAGTAGAAAATTGGCTTGGATTCTAGAGGCCTGAATACGATCCCAAAGCCCCTGAAGAAATGCCTGTGAGGTAGGTTCAGATTCCAGAGGCAGCAGAATCTACTTTTGCCAAAAATACGAGAAATTTTGTAGGCCATGGTGCAAACGCCATTCACTCCCTACTTCTGCAAAAGCTGAGTTTCTCCTTTTGCCTTTATTTTCTTTAACCAGCATAATTAGTCTTCTTTGGAGTAAGTGCGAGGAAGCACCTGAGGTGACGGTGACAGTGACCCAGCAACAAGAGGAACAGCAGGCCCTTCTTGGATGTTTTACATACAATCTCAATATTTATTTCACCTAACTAGGGATCAGTAATGCTAGCCTAGTTTTACAGATGAAGAAACAGACTCAGAGAGGCAGAGTAATTTGTCCAAAGTTCCTAGTGCTGCAAAGTGCAGACTGAGTTCTAAATCTTATGCACATAACCAATATACTTATGGGAAGTATACTCTTCCTGCCACATGCCAGGCTTCTCTGTGAGTCTGCCCATCAGTATTGAACCCTGAATGTCAGATAAGCTGGCAGGCATCTCTGATCACACAGCTATTTTATGTTTCCAGCACCGATGTCTTCTTGGGACGTGGACTCCCAGACTAGAGCTTCTTCATAGCAGAAGAGGCTAAGGGGAGATAGGGTGTGGACAACGCATGAAGCCCAAGGCTGCGCTCCTCAAGTGCTGGCATTTAATTACTAGTTCAGTTTGGTTAAGTCACTTAGCCTTTCTGAACCCCAAACACACATCTATAAAGTGGGCAAAATGGTGTTTGTCCTTCTAACTCCAAAAGTTGTTGGAAGAAGCAGATGAGCAAGAATCTGGGATTCTCTCCTTTTATCTCCACACCAGTTCAATTACTGATTTCCACCAATTTTATCTCCCATGTAGTTCTTAAATATGATGTATCTTCTCTGTTTCTACAGCCACTGTCTTAACTTAGGACTCTATCATTTCTTGCTGGCATGCTGCAACAGTGCCTAAGGGGCCCTAACTTGCCATTTGTCCCTGCTGATTCATGCTCTACACAGCCACCACCACTCATACATCTGATGCCTCTCCCCTGCTAATCATCTGCAGCAGGGGTGTCCAACCTTTTGGCATCTCTGTGCCACACTGGAAGAAGAAGAGTTATCTTGGACCATACATTAAATACATTGTGACACATAATCACAAAAAAAATCTCAAAATGTTTTAAGTAAATGTGCAATTTTGTGTTGGGTCACATTCATAGCCATCCTGAGATTCATGTAGCCTGAGGGCCATGGGATGGATGCCCCTGCAAGAGGCTTCCCATCCCCACAGGGAATGGTACATGCTCTGACCTTCTCCCTGTCTCCTGATCCAGCTCCATCTCTCTCTGATATTCCAGTAACACCTAAATGCACCATGCAACTCCTTCTCTCCACACTTGGGCTATCACTCCCCATAAATGCGCTTTTCCTTTTTTCTTCCCTTCACTTGGCCTGTTCTAATTCATTCTTCAACATTCAGTTGAGATGTCATTTCTAAAAACTACTTTCTACTCCACCATACTTGTCCCCCCTCACTTAAACCTCTCATTGGCACTTCTATATTCTCTCTCTAATTTCATTAGCCCAAGTTATGATCACTATACATTCTATACCTGTTCTTCCTTATCCTGCTAATCTCCTTGAGGATGGGAACTTTTTTTTGTATTATTCTTTGCATCCCTTGTGCCACATAGTAGATTCTCTGTGAAAAGAATTATAAAGCACTAGGTGAGAAGAAGGGGTTATTATTATTAGTGTTGAATTTTGATATTTGAGCGTGGGGGTCCATCTTTGCCCCCACATATCTGCTCTGCTCTGTTTCATGAACAAAAATGTTATACAGTAAATGCCCTGATAAAATTCGTATTTGGAAGTGGTAACCATTCATGATTAGCTTCTGTGTACCTTCAATTTCTCATAGATCAAGACTCCTCTTTCCCCTTGAGGGAATGAAAAGAACTGCTAAAGTTTGATCATAGAAGAGGAATGGGTCAGAAAAAGTGAAACTCTTAGGGATTTGTGACATATTCCTGTAGGGCTTGGAGCGATCGGGAGGCAGCAGGAGAGAACTGGGTGTGAGGAGGCAAGAGTGGGGTGGTGGGGTGGGAAGCGTGCAGCATGGCGAGGAGTGCAAGGGTGCTGAGGACAGTGGGATTCATTCTTTTGCTCAGAGCACATTGCAGACTCATGTGGATAAATTGAGGCCTTGCCTGGTGCATTCAAACTTGATTCCTCCATAAAGTAAAGTCTCCTGTTCTGTGACTTGTAAATAGAGACCTCAAGGTCAGAAGACAGATTTCCCGAGAAAGTATAATGGTATGTAGGTATTTTTGCTGACAGCTTTTTCCTTTCCTTTCAAATACTAATTCTATATAATATATATTATTATACATATTGTTATATGTGAGTCCTTTTTTATTGTATGCATTTTAAATGACTTACTGTAAAAATTTTCAACTGTTGCTTAGTATTAGAAAGTTAAGGTAAGAAATAAATTATTGATGGTTTCTATTATTATATTATTATCTGGGTCACATTCAGGTCTATATTTGGAAGCTTACCTTTTTTTTCTTTTGCAGAAATACTGTCTGTGGTTCCAGAAACTGGGAGCCTTGGGGGAAGAACAGACATCACAATTACAGGAGACTTCTTTGACATTCCTGTCCAGGTTACCATTGCAGGTAACTAAGTTGAAATGGCTGAAAATAGTTTAGTTTTAAATGCTGTAAGACAGCAGTTCCCAACCTTTTTGGCACCTGGAACCAGTTTCGTGGAAGACGATTTTTCCACGGACCGGGGGTGGGGAGATGGTTTTGGGATGATTCAAGCACATTATATTCAGGCTCACCTCCTGCTGTGTGGCCCAGACTGGTACTGGTACTGGTAACTGCCTTGGGCTGGTACTGGTCCAAAGCCTGAAAGTTGGGGACCCCTGCTGTAGGAGGTTATGTGTCTCTTATGGTGTGGAGAGGGTTGAGGGAAGCAATCTCTGTCTTTTCTGACTCAGTGTGCCACCCTGCTCTCAGGTGTTTTACCTGTGCCCGGTTAAGACCAGGTGGGATTGTGGTCCGGCAGCTCTGCAAACACAAATGGCAATGGGATGTCCTTCAGACACACAGTTCATGGGCAGTTCTCTTGGTCTCCCATGGGAGTGGGGAGAAGGGAAAAGCACAGCTGCCTCTTCATAGACGTCTGCTCCTACTGACAGACAATCCCTGTCCCCCCTTAGCCCTCTCTGTGTGGACAAGCTGGAGTGGGCAGGCAATTGCTCTGTTGATTCTGCTGGAATGCCCCTATGACAAATACTTTTGTGGAACCTATCTAGAACCTTTTGTTCTGCCAGGTGCGATGTTCCTGTACTTGGCAACACCAAGGAGGCAGGAACATGTCCTCACTCTCTCGTGGTCACACTTGCCCTCCCAAACTCAGCTGAGTGGTTCATGCACTTTCTGTGGGTGGCATTGCATTGCATTGCTTACCTGCTGGTTTTATAAGGGGCACTGTGCTCTGTGCCCTCCCTTTCCTGGCCTCCTTCAGTTTGGGTGACAACTTTTGCTCTACTGTTTACATTTGGCCCTTTGCCTCAGAATAAGAGCTTGTCTACTTCAGTGTGGTCCTGTTGTCTTGCCATCAAATTTATATACCCACATCTATATTTCTATCTGTATCTATATCTACATCCATATCTATATCTAAATCTCTGTCTAATTTAAAAATTCTCCTCAGGCGTTCCATGTGATGTCAGACACGTGTCTCCCAGGAAGATTAAGTGCACCACCAGGGCTCCACGAGAAGGTACAAGGCTCACTGCTCCTCAGGCAGGTAATGAAGTCACCAGGGCTGTTCAATGACCTCTGGTTATGGTTTAACCATGGCGGGCTTGGAAGTGGAAGTGAAGGTGTTGGCATTCTGTCTCAGCTGTGACTGCTTAGGTCAGTGAGCCCTGGGGCCATGACATCACTGTCAGGGCTTTCATTTCAGAGTGGCTCTTAGCTTAATTCCGATGCTCATCGACACTGCACTGCTAGCCCCAGCCAGATGAGTGGCCAGTGGGGTTCAGTGGAGACCATGATCCTGGAAGCATAACTTCAGTCAAGACATTGTTATGTGGGAGCATTAGAGTCTGCTCATCACAACAGCATGAGACAAGGCCAGAGAGTGGAGCACAAGGGGGTGCAATGTTGCTTCTTCTTCCCTGATGCACCTATCCACTACTTGATGAGTAGGGGTGTATTGTGATGTTGCCACCAATTTATGGCCAGAGTGGGAGGAGATGGAGAAGGTAAGGTTCCACTTGTCCATCTCTGTGCAGAACTTCCACCTCATGGCTGCAAATTGAAAGTACACCAGTGGCACACTTTCCTGGTAAGCATTAGAATGAAAGGCTCAGTGTAGTTAGGCAGAAGGGCAGTTGGCATGTTACATAGCACAGGACCACAAGCTGCAAGTTGCATTCCTCACCTGCCCCACAAGGGCAGACTTCATGCTTAAACTACAGACACTGAACTCAACTCCAGAAGCTCAGTACTTAGAAGGGAAGTAACCCAGCAAGGTGGAGAAACCTCTCTAAAAAAAGGCCATTCCTGTGTGAAATGCATGCAAAGCTTTGGCCCAGCACATCCTCCAGGCCCCAGAGCTGCAGTGTTTACTTAGGAAAGCTCCCATCCAAGGAAGCTATTGAAGCAAGTGGTGGGGACAATGTGTGTTTCTTGTGTCAGGAAGTGGAGAACTGTCCCCTCTTTGAGGGGTTCCTGCTTTAGCTACTTAGGTAGTGGTAGGATCATTTCCCAAATGCAGTAGCTTTTGAGTGTTAACAAGGCCCTTTATGAAGACACTTGGAAATTGCTTCTATAGAAGAAGAGCAAATTGTTATGTTATGCAGTGGTTTTCAATGGTCTCTGGGGTACATTTGGCGACATGCAGTATTATAGCTGGGAAAGTAGTTGTGCTGCTGGCCTCTAGTGGCTGGAGTGCAGAGGTGCCTCTAAACATCCTTCAATGCATAGGACAGGCCCCCCACAGTTACCCCACCCAGAGGTCAATGGTAATGAGCTTCAGAAACCTCAAGTAATGTATTCAAATGTGCTCTTATTGTTCTGCCTATTGCTTATCTACTTCTCCTTTTAAGAATTAATGAGGATTAGGTTCCTGTTAAAGGTGAGGTCATACGGTATTTGTCTTTCATTGCCTGGCTTATTTCTCTTAGCATAACGCTTTCCATTTCCATCAATGCTGTCGCAAAGGGTAGGAGCTCCTTCTTTCTTTCTGCTGCATAGAATTCCATTGTGTAAATGTACCATAGTTTTTCAATCCATTCTTTTACTGATGGGCACCTAGGTTGCTTCCAACACTTGGCTATTGTAAATTGTGCTGCTATGAACATTGGGGTGCATAGGTTCTTTTGGATTGGTGTTTCAAGGTTCTTAGGATATAATCCTAGCGGTGCAAAATATAACCAAAGACAATGAAATAGAAAACAGGCTGACAGTGACCAGAGGGGAGAGGGGAGGGAATTTCAGGGGAAAAGGGGAAGGGTTTGCAAGAACAAGTATAAAGGACACATGAACAAAAACAAGGGATGGGTGAAAATGGGAGGGAGGTGGGGAGGGCTGGGTGGTGGGCTGGGATAGGAGTAAAAGGCATAAAACTGTACTTGAACAATTAAAATAAAAAAATTAATGAGGAATGATAGTAGTTTAAAATAACAATAATTACCCTAGCTGTCCTTTGTTGAGTACTTAGTATATTTTAGGCTCTTTGTAGATATAGTTCAAGCTCCTTTTTTCTTTTCTTTTTTTTTTTTTGTTTACCAGAATTGTCAAATTGACTCATTTTTTCCCCAGCTTTATTGAGATGTAATTGACATATAATGTAAGCTCCCTTGGTCTTTTCTGCATTATTTCTATTTATTATTGGCTCCATGTATGAGAAAAGGAAGGCATTAAGAAATTTGCTCAAAGCTACACATTTGGTAAGTGACAAAGCTGGAATCTGAACTCACAAATATATGACTCCAGAGCTTTTACCCTCAATCCAAGTTTGTAACCAATACAGATTGCACATGTGCCTTTAGTCTCAGGGTTTGTTTAATATAAAACACAAATTAAGAAGTACAACACAATTGGAAATGTCACGTAATAGCTGCATGTCACTTAATTTGTCCTATGTTGAGGTCCACAACCTGAGGCCAGTTTTGTGGGGAACAGAGGATTTTAAGGAATAGAACTCAACTCCCAGGCTGAACTGGGCCTTAAAAGATGCTAAACTCCACTCCTCAACAATCAAGTCTGAGCACAGGATCACACCATCTCTTTTCCTCAGCCACAGCATTTGTTCACGTTTTCTCTAGGACTTGGTGATTCTCTTCTTCAGACACTCCCATCAGAAAGGGCTCCCTACTCTTTTCTGTTGGTCTGAAAATATTTCCCCTTACCATTCCTTATCCAGTCCCTCTTTCCAAGAGGCTCAGTCCTACACCAAACACATTTCCTGCTTTCCAGAACATTTGTGTCATCTACAGAACCTGTTACATGACTTTTCCATCTGGGTCTCAGTTGACTCAGCTTTCTAGTTAGTGCCTGGGTCATCTTGGCTCTTTTGTCTAAAGCCAAGTAATTCCTCAAATTGGGGAGGAATGCTCTCTGGTGTTCATGAAGCACGTATGTCTTACAGGCAATCGGGGGCTTCTTTTTGAAGTTGGAGATGCTGCTGAGGGCTTGGACCTAACTGAAGCCACCCCTGGGTACAGGTGGCAGCTTGTCCCTAATGCCAGTTCTCCATTTGGATTTTGGTCAAAGGAGGGGAAGCCTTTCAGGTATGTTGTATGAGAAGTGGGAGTCCATTTCAAAAGCATCGTTAGTGGCCTAGGTGAGGCTAAAAGACAGAAAGTAAGCAATGAGATTTTCACGGTAAAATGTGTCATGCCCACCAATTGCATGACCACAGAATTGGACCATGGTTCTCCCCCAGTGGTAGTCATGCTGGTGCACCACAGGCCCTTTATAGGTGCATGCTACAGCTTGATCAGTAGGTGGATTTCATACTTCATACAACTTAGTTTTTAATCTGGTTTGGAGATGACTATCAATTGGAATATTGAGCTGCGTAGGCTTAGGAACTTAAAAGAGGGCAGGGTAAAACTTGCCACAGGAATGTGGTTAAGAGGTGAAACTCATGTCTGGATGATGCCAGAGAAAGAAGCAAGCATTTGCCCTTTGGCCATATGAGGGAGCACAGTCTGGGCAGTGAACAGTTCTGCTGAAAAAGCAACCAGTGTCCAAAGTCAGCCTAATGGCTGGTGTACAGTAGGGGAAGCTACTGTGGCCTCTGTGAGACAGTGTTTTTGATAGCAGTGGTTGAAGCATGATTATGTTGTTTTGAGTCCTTTTAATCCCTTCAAGGATATTGCCCAAATTTCTAGCTCTCTAAAGTGGGCTTAAAAGTACAAAAAATTGAGAATTTCTTAGACATACTGTTTCCTTAATGTCCTCTAAGTGTATGTATATATAGAGAGGCATAGATCCTTGACTGGGTGATCCTTGACTCATTTGAGAGAGGTTGGTCCTAACCCTGAGTGTGAATTCCAGCCATTCTGTGAGCTCCTTCAAGGATCTGGCCATATTAAATTTTAATTCAGCTATGGAATGAAAACTTTTGTTCCCTGATCAGGGGATTTCAGACATTGAAGAAGCCAAGTAGGGAAGGAAGTCTGTGAACTAAACTAAGTTTCTATTGTCCTGGAATTACTAACTAGGCACTTAACCACCAATATATGGCTTTAAAGTGGCAATAATTTGTGGTCCCTTATGGCATCTAATCATACACCTTTATCATCGTTTTTGAGGACCATCAGTAATGTACAAAGGAAAACCTTTCAGCTATATTCAGTGTGTGGGGGGTGGTAAGGAGAGAGTCAAACCACCTCCACAGACCAAAGAGCCTTGTGTTATGTGGATGAACTATAGGGTGAGTCTCTTTAGCTGCCATTTTGAGGAGCCATAAACCAGAGAGTAACTCTTTCCATTGTCCGTCATTCATTACTTTAAAATTCAAAAATTTTAAATTGAACATTGGAATATTTGTTAATTGATATTAATTATATTGATGGACCTTTAAAATTGTTACTTTAAAAACTATTTCAGAAAATATTTTGGATTTTTATTGGCATAGTTTAATAACTTTTTTAGCTACATCTGTCTTTGATACTAGGTCACTAGCATTTGTACTAAACATTTTAAAATATATAGTCACATTTTTAAATGTTTTGTAACATTGTCTGTAATCTTCTTCAAAGTTGCAGGTTGCGTATTTTAATATGGAATTGCCAGCATGTTCAATGGGCTTTTCTCTGTGGACCATAATCTTTTTAATTGGAAATAAAAAAGACTCTCAGCAGGTGTTGAGGTATCTGATCAGCTTAGAGCAAATACTTTTTGTGTGTGTGTGAAATATTATTTAATTAGTAAACCCCCAAACAATTAAAAATGACTTACTGACCACCTACATTAAATACAACATTGTGCTCAGCATTGTGAGGGTCAGAAGGTCTAGAACAAGGTCATCATCCTTGAGGAGTGACTACCCTTGCAGTGAGCATGTAAGGCCGCAAGGCAAGGTGAGACAGCAGCATTACTGAAGTTCTTCATGTATCCAAGGGTGTCCCCTCATCTTTTTATTTAATTCAACTGATACATATTGAGTGACTACTATGTCCCAGGCCTTCTAAGGTAAATGACTTCATGAGATACAACAGCTAAGGAAACATTTATCAAGCTAGTTTGCAGATGAGGAACAATAGTCTCCAATAGGTACAGTGGTTTTTCTAATATGGTGCAATTATCAAGTGGCAGAACCAAGTTCTGAATTTTTCTGACTTCAAGGCTTGTGATATCTAAGGCCACCTTTCTGTGCCACAGTATGGCCCATGTTCTTTCCCCATGGGAATGGGAATGTGGTATTTCAAAGAGGACATAGCAGCATTGTGAAACCTCATATATGCAAAGACCTGTTTCCATGAAGTTAATGTCTGCATGAAGGAGAGAAAAGAGAGAGAAGTCTCCCCTGATACCATTAGGGACCATTTCAGGTCTATCACTCAACTCCTCATAAAGAATGGCACAGTGTTGTTGAGAGGTCAAGTATGATTATTTGGCAGGAAACATACTAGCTAATATATGATTATTTGCATATGCCGACAGCCACACAGGCTGAATGGAAAGAGGCTAAAGTCTGACATCAGCCAGAGTGGTAATGGCTTGCAAGGTATGACTGTGTTAGAAAAAGGACACAAGGATCAAGTCAGAGCCCCCCATATCTAATAATTAGAATAACACTCAGTATTGACTGAATTCCTACCAGGGACCAGACCCTGTGCTGGCTGTGTGAGGTAGGTTCTCAGCTAAGCCGAGGACTGCCCTATGTGGGCCACAACTTCCCCAGAGAGGACGTGATGCATCAGGAGCTGTGCTGGTGTGAAGAGATGGGCTGTGATGCAGAGACTAGCCGGGTGCCACAGCTGCTCCCAGAGTTCTCCGGTCAGTCATATGGCACAAAAGCCAGTGACTTGGACCTGGGTTGCTCTGGCTTGACTTGGTGCTCCTCTGCTTTACAGAGCACGGCTCAGTGGGTTCTTTGTGGCCCCGGAGACAAACAATTACACTTTCTGGATCCAGGCAGATGCCCCAGCTTCCTTGCATTTCAGTCGATCAGAGGACCCCAGGGCCAAGGTATTTGCCTTCTTCTCATTTCCTTTTCCTTGTCCCCAGTCCTTCACTCATAAAAAATAAGTAAGTAAATAAAAATGAAAACTATCATGTTCCACAAATAATTGTAACACACAATTAGGCAACCAGGAATCTCAATATATATATATTCTTTTTTTGGGGGGGGGGTTACTACAAATTTTTAAAATTGAGGTATAATTGACATGCTTTTAATTGTTGAAAAAGAATTTGGGTGAATACGTTGGCACCCACTATTTATTGAGCATGTAGTGTAAACTGGGCATTATGCTACATTTTTAATATACCTAGTCTCTAATTTTCACAGCATTTTTGTGAGCTATGCATATTTATTTCTGTTTTCCAGATAAGGAATTTGGTATTTTGAAGGGTTATGTGGCCAATCCAGGGCCACTTGGATAATAAGAGACACACAGTATTTACAATTCAAGCCCAAATTTCTCTGACTCCAAAGCTTGTACCTTGTTCACCAATTCTGGGTAGGGATGTAGTCAGTCATGGGATGTGGGAATTTCCTGATCAGTATTGAAGGATAAGAAAAGATGATTTGAACAAATAGCCCAATTCACTAGTGCTGTTGACAAAGAACCCAAACATCTTTTTTCAAATTATTAATATACTTCTATTGGATTGTTTTGCTAGTTGGTTAGAGGAACATGATAGATTTTGATGTGATCAGTTATTCTAGATTTCTCGAAGAGCTTAATATTACCTTATCCGCAGCATCATGTAGACCTAGCGCTTCTGGTTGGCTGTTTTTGCTCTATGTGTGGCACATCCAGCCTCATCTGAATACTATTCAACTGAGAAAGAGAGAGAGAAGGGGTAGAAAAACATAAGTTAAACAACCACAGGACCGAGTGTGACCAGGCTAACTTGTTGGAAAAGGCAGATCAGTCCTTGTTAATAGCTGTCCAGGCACTGCTGTTTGAGAAAGACATGCTCAGAAACTCTGTAGCATTGATTGTGATATGTTTATTGGGACACAGGTGGAGGTGGCCTCCATCAGGGTGGGCACTACTGACTGGTTTGACTCCTGGGAGCAGAATGGGAATGAAGGGACTTGGCAACAGAAGACCCCCAAGTTGGAGCTGCTCGGTGGAACCAGGTACTACCTGGAGGCAGAGCAGTGTGGGAAAGCCCCCAGCAGGGGGATGAGAATTGGCGTCCAGATCCACAACACCTGGCTGAATCCTGATGTGGTCAGCACTTACCTCCGGGAGAAGCATCAGATCCGAATCCGTGCTCAGAGACTTCCGGAGATCCAGGTCTGCATCCCCTCCCAGTCCCACAGGGTCAGGGTCAGGGGCTAAATTCTGGAAGGGTACAGTGTTGCCTAGTGGGAGGATCACTAGTTGGGAGCCAGAAAATTTGAGTTGTAATTATCACTCTGCTGACAACAAAATAGGATATCTATTCTATAGTGCTGTGGGGACTTTATGGTTTTGAATCTTACATTTAAGTCTTTAATCCATTTTGAGTTTATTCTTGAATATGGTATAAGAAGATGGTCTGGTTTCATTTCTTTTTTCTTTTTTTAAATTAAATATGTGTTTAATTTTCCCAGCATCATTTATTAAATAGATTGTCTTTAAAAGAAAGATAAATAAAAATGCAAAGTCTTCTCAATGAGATGACTTTATTTATGGGCTTAGTTTTACGGATTTAAGGTTCAGGTAAATATTCTTTTGGAAACTTACTCCCTAAAGTAGAGATAAGGTCCGCCAAACACCCACAACTTTGTGTGTGTGCTGAAGTGTATACACACATGAGGTTTCATAGCCTTTTCACTGTTCACATCTTGTTTCCCTATGTGCTGTGTTTTCTAAGTCTACTTTTAAAGGTCAAGGCCTTTGGGTCTCTCAGTCATGACCCACATTTTTGTTAAACAATTTTGGTGTATTTTTGTTGTTCAATTTTTGGTGTACAATGATGGGTCAGTATGGACTTGCTTTTTATGCTTAGAGTCTAATAGAAAAAAGTGTATACAAATAGCCACAGGAAGAAATAGAAAACAACAAGTGATATAAGATGTAGGTCTCACTCCCTGACAAAAGTGTAAGGGGCCTGGCCGGGAATGTACTAGAAGCCAAGCAGAGACTGAATACGCCTCTGAGAGGGTAACATGCCATGTGGCTGTTTCTGCCTACAGGGTCACGCCCGGGAGAGAGTTCTTGGTGAGAAGGGCTGAAAGTTGGCCATTCAGGGGCAACATTTGTCTCACATGCTGAAGAAAAGCTGGGGGGGGGGCATAAATAAATAGAGACACAGACATGTACATTGTTCCAAGATGAGTTTTCATTGGGTGGTATCACTTGTGTTCTCTACATAGTTCTAGATGATAGTTTAAAAAAATTGAAATTTTAAATAGAAAAATAGCAAGCCAAAGAAGTATGTTCTTAGATGATCTCTTAGGCTTAATTAGCATACGTCATGTAGTCCTGTTACTCTTGACTTTTAGATGCTGACTGTGTCTGGGACAGGGGACTTCTTCCTGACTTGGGACGATGTGTCTAGCCCACCAATCTCTACAAATGCCACAGCCCAGCAGGTGGGGACCTCCTTCAGGTAACAAGAGACGGGGGTGGTCTTCCTGCCCATGCTATGGACTCCTGGTAGTTTTTCTTTTCAACAGATTCAAATAGCCATTGAGGAGTTACTTGCAGTAAAATGCCAGCTGGAACCCCTTTCAGCTAACATCCTACTTCGACTTGGATTTGAACAAGGTGCTGTCCCTGGTTTGACAAATTCTGACCCTCTTCTCCATCATTGTCTATTCTCTTTCTCTCTCTCTCTCTTTTATGTAAAATGGGAACAATCTTCATTTCCTATCCAAGGTGCTAACACAGTCAAATGAAGATATGGAAACTGGATTTAGACACTGAGTGGCTACTTGCTTGGGAAGGAGCTGCTTGGCGCAGCTGTCCTCCTGGGCTGTCGGCTTAGACACCAAGGATGCAGGCAGTTAGAGTTAAGGAATGCTATCTCAGACCACACAGCGGTAAAAGAGCAAAAGGTATAGGTGGGAAGCGGCAAAACAGTACAAATCTTGACTAAAGGAATTATTGCATAAAACAGTAATCTTAACAAATTATAAAAATGAGAGGGTATATTTTTAAAACACCAAGGTGAACTAAGTTACAGTTGACACTCCTTGCCTTTTTCCTAGTCTGCAGTTTTCTGTGTTGTGGTACATGTAGAAAATGGTAACACAGTAGTCCCCTTATCCAAAACTCCCAGTGAATGCATGAAACTCTGGCTATACCATGTTTTTCCCTAAACATATGTAGCAATGATAAAGTTCAACTTACAGTTTAAGCAAGGAAGAGATTGACAGTAATAACTAATAATAAAGTAGATCAATTATAATAACATATTATAATAAAAGTTATATGAATGGGGTGTCTCTCTCTTTCTCAAAACATCTTACTATCCTGTCCTCACTCTTACTCTTTTTGTGTTGATGCAAGATGATAAAATACCCATGTGATAGATGAAGTGAGGTGAATAATGCATGCATTATGACAAAACATTAGGCCACTATTGACTGCATTCATACTCAGCAAGCGCTTTCCATCCTCTCTTTGGCGTATCTGAACTGCCGGCATCACTACTCTTGCACTTTGGGGCCATTACTAAGTAAAATAGGGTTACCTACACACAAGCACTATGATACCATGACAGTGGATCTGATAGCACAGAGGGCTACTGAGTGACTGACTACGGGGTGGGGAGTGTCTACTATGGTGTGGAGACGCTGCATAAAGGGATGAGTCACCCCTTATAAGGGGCCACAAGAGATTTCACCACATTACTCAGAGCAGCATGAAATCTAAAACTTATGAGTTGTTGATTTCTGGAATTTTTCATCTAATAATTTCAGGCCATTGTTAACTGCTTATATCTAAAACTGTGGGAAGTGAAACCATGGTAACAGTGGACTGCTGTGTATTTTTGATGCTCCAGGGCAGACAGAATGAAGTTTTCATAGCTGGAGCCTTCACACTGGGGGCTGCCGGGCAGCCTTGGCCTTGCCCAGCTTGTCCAAGGGCTGGGGGGCCAATATCACAGTGAACCCATAACTGGTTCCCTCTCTACACATGTTGGGAAGCTTGGCCTATTTAAATAGGTAGACATTAATGTCTACCCTGTCTCTTAATTTTATTTGAACTGCATTCAGGCCCAGAAGGTTCCAGCTTTGACGGGGACCTCACCAGTGGGACAGAGCCCTTCTGTGGGAGGTTCAGCCTCCATCAGCCTCGACACCTTGTCCTAAGGCCCCCAGCTGCCCAGAAAAGCTACTGGCTGGATCAGTACATGCATGTAAGTTGCAGCCCTCATGCTTCCAGGTGAGGTGGGTAGGGAAGAATTAGTGTTATTCTCAGGGGTTGAGATGGAGAAACAGAAGCACAAAAGAGTAATGGCTATGATGTGTCCAAAGTGTTTTGGGCTGAAGTTCTAGGTTTCTTAAATGCTGTTTCAGGTGTGAACAGACACCTCCAGTCCTCCATCAGCTACTTGTCACATAGAAATGCCTTCGTATTAGCTATGAGATCTATGACAGGTTTTACTTTCATATATGAGGTGGGCAAAAGTAGGTTTACAGTTGTGACTACGTAAAACAGTTTATTCTTATATTATTATTTATAAGCTGTTGTATTATTTTCCATACCAACAACTGTAAATCTACTTTTTCCTGCCCTGTATATTCTTTGCTCTTCAGGAAGTGCAGATTCTGTAGTCATATTCTCTGGGTTTGCATTTTGACTCTATGTTCCATGTGCCCTCTGTGTGTTACTTCAGTTTACTCACCTGAAAAGTGGGTCCTAATGTTGTCTACCTCTCAGGATTTTAGTGAAGATTCAATGAGGTAATCCAGTCAAGTGCCTGTGCAGTGGTTAGGACTCAACTGAAGATAGTTATTGCTATTTATTATAGTTAGTGTTATTGTTGATGGGTTGACAGACACATTTCTTTAACCCCTTTTACACCCTTTGTGTCGATAGCTCTGCCATCTTTCACAGAAGAGTGCAGCTTATTTGCTGTCCGGGCCCAGAGTGAGGCTCTCTGGGGTGGCTGAGCCCATGGTGGTGGTTTCAGGTCCCTCCCCAGTTGAACGGATTAGGAGCCAGGACTAAGTGATTCAGGCTGGGGCACTGCTCATTTCCCATTATTTCCCATATAGCAGAGGCTCCCAGGGGGCAAATTTTGCTTCCTAGGGGAGAGCTGGCAATTTATGGGGGCATTTTTGGTGGTCACATTGGGTAAGTGGTACTGGTACCCACTGGGTAGGTTCCAGGGATGTTACTAAACATCTACAATGCACTGAATAGCCCCCTCACAGGAAAAAAGTATCCAATTCAAAATGTCAATAGTGCTGAAGTAAAACATATTCTGCTCTAAAGACTGTTTGAGCCAAACAATTTTACTTAATTCAGAGTTAGAAACCAAGGATGGTGGGGAATTCTTAGAGTTCAGGAACAAAAATTTGCTAATTGAGATACTCTAAAATTGTCATTGCCAAACACAGTGGTAGGCATTTACTACCCTCTTTTGGACAATAACAATTCACAGTACCGACTTCTCTGGTCAGCTAGACCAGTAAGCTCCAGAGGGCAGGAACTGGGCTGACTCTTTCACAGCATGAGGCAGGGTTGTAGGGAGGTGGACTCTTCTTACCGCACTTTGTTCGAATGGCTGCTTCTTGCACTAATAGAGCTGGAGCCCTTATTTGTTGCCTGTAGTTGTGCATTGCATACAAAGGCCGCATGAATAAGACGCTGAAGGTGACCATGTCCTTCACAACTGATCTTCAAAACATCATTAAGAAGAACATTACCTGTGACTGGAAACTCGTGGGGACCAGTCCCGAAAGGTAGATAATCTGTAGGGAGGTGTGGTGGGAATTCTGCCAACTGGGATGATTAGCTCTTTCAGGGGCAGTGGCCTACCTGAGGTACTGCCTGTTATATTTGAGACTCAGATACTAACCTGGGGTTCTGAACACAGAGGTTCTCCTCTGTGGAGCCCAGAGAAGTTGGATTAAAAATAATTAGTTGTGAGAAATATACTACTTCCTAGAAGGAAACTGATATTTCTCACAGGGATAAAATCATAGAGTGTAACATTTGGAAGAGACTTTAGAGAGCATTCCTTGACATTATAGATGAGAAAAATGGGGGCCCAGAGAACCTGTGATTCACAAAAATTCATTCAGTGAGTAAAGACGACTCTGGAATAAAATCCAAGCATCTTGATCCCTCAATTCAATGCTCTTTCCAGATAATGTCTTAAGAGTTTTGTAAGTGGTTGTAAACCTAAATCGTCCAGTAATGTCCAGGAGCATTAATCTTCCTTGTCATTAGAGCCTACATATGATCTGTTTAAGACAGACAATTACACTGTAATTTGAAAAAGCCGCTGACATTGAGAGCCATGAATGAATGATTGCTTTAAAATGTGGTTCACTGGTGTGACATCACAGCTGAGTCGAGCCTGACTTGGATGTTTGTACTCAGGGCACACAGGACTGTTTGGGCGCTGGGGTTCATGGGGCTTCTCTCCTGGCTACACAGTCCTCAGGCTCCCGGGTCCCAGAACTAGGGTTTGAATGGGAGAGGACTGTAGGTGCACGCCCCTGAGTTCTTGTTTTTCAGTTGGCAGTTCACCTGTACTAACCTCTGGAAGGCTTGCCTGCATCACTCCTTGCATCTCCAGACGTCTCTGGCACACTCGCTGGTGCTGGTTCATCGAATTGACCTCTTCCCTCTGGCGCAGGAGATGGGTGTGTTCTATGTGGATGAAGTTATTATTGCGGACACAAACCTGACAGGTGATCATCGAATATTCTCTCCTCCATGGACCTGTCCCTCAACTGCCAATTTTAAACTTTCTACTAGGGGCTGCAGTCCTGTTAGTGAAGGGGGAACAGGTGAGGTTCATCTTGCCTGCCTTGGTTCTAAAAAGAGGATGGGGTTGGTATTATGTGCCCTTGGGCCCTATATTTTTCTAGCTAATTCCTATTTTTTCCCCTATTCACTACAATGCTTGCTCTTGCTTTTGGTATTTGTGCTCTGCCCTGATTTTACTACTTCCTTGCTGAGAAGCCTTGGTTTCCTCATCCATAAAATGGGTGTACTGAAGTCCCTGCCTCATTGGGTTGCTGCAAAGATTAAAGTATAGTGTAAAGCACTCATCACAGGTCCTGAATATAGTAAGTGCTCAATAAATATAAGCAATTATTACTATTAACATTATTATTACTGTTAGAATAGCAAGATTTCTTGATCTCTCTATCAGCTAATATCTATCAAAGAAAGTGCTTGAAGAACACAGAAATACCTACCCATGGAAATGAACTGAAGGTCTGACTTATAGCAGACTCAGTGAGAGTCAGAGGATAACGACATTCTCATGAGAATGCCTCGTCCTTCTTTCTGCCCATCTAGATTCCTCTCTCTTGTCACTTAGAGCCCAGGCCTGTCCTCTTTCTCCACCAAGTCCTTTGGCCTCCCTTAGGCACAGCTATCTTACTGGGCTTTCTTGTCCACAGGTTTCAGGGACAAAGTGCTCATTAGGGATCCTTCTGAGACTGGCCACCAGTGACACACACCTTGGGAAGGGAAGCCCACAGCCCATGCAGATGGTGCTGTTTGCTCCCAGGGCCTCCATGCTTCCAAGTTCTGTTTACTTTCCATTTTCTGTTAAATCCCTGGGACTTTGGGGCTCAGATTTCCAGCTTTAAGTAGCTTCTCTCTTTCTTTCTCCCAGGAGAAAAGGAGGAAGCAGTCATTTACATTTTGACTTACAAAATATGCAAGTTTTCAGTCTTTTGCTTATAAAATTGCAGAGCTGAGGGCAGAGGAGCTTGGGGGTGGGTAGCAAGAGGACTCTCCTTCAGCCATGAAATGACATCATATTTGAATCCATCAAAATTCTGCCTCTTATATGTATGTGTCGGTGGTTTAAGTGCTTTGAGGGCATCTGGGTCAGAGAGTCACTGCTTATTTTAAGCCCTTTTTAAGGTCCTGGCACGTAGAAAATAATATTCAGATGGCATGCTTGGATAACTACCTGAATTCTTGGTGCATAAGACCCCAAGCCAGGGCCTTTGGTGACCCTCAATTGCTGCCCAGATTCCTGGAGGAGTGAGGGGTTCAACATTTCATACCCTTGAACTCACTGACTGGGAAATGCAGAACTAAATAATAGGTGCCTTTTCCCTTTTTCTCTTTTCCCCCTTAAATGCCATCTTAAATCTCCAAGCCCTCCAAGTGCAACATCCAGAGCGCTTTCTCCCTGCCCCTACCTCTCTGCCATCAAATGCTCCAGTACCTGGAACCATCTCAGAGTGTGGTGAGGAGGGAAGCAGAGAGGGAGAGGGCAGAGGCAAGTAAGACTATTGGAGTGTCTTGTGTAAAACCACATTTCCTGCTTTGGCTAGTTCCCTTGCTAGCAACGACTTTGCTTTGAGGGTTATTTAATGGCAACACAAACGCTACACAATTGTGCTCAATATTCATAGTTAATTGTCTGACATTTATCTGATCAATTTAACACCTGATTATATTTTCTCATCAAATGTCCTCTGTGAAAGTTATTTTCATCTAGTGGTAGGCAGCATTTATTTCTCACTTTTTAGAACACCATGAGATAGTCCTATTGTCTCCACCCTATAGATGGGGACATGAAAGCTAAGAAGGGCTGAGTATCTCGTCCCAAATCCCATAGCTGGGACGTAGGGGAGATTGGAATCCAGAGATTGTTGATACCAAAGACAAAACCTCAATCATCCATACCCAGCTGAGTGAATAAACATTTATTGAGCACCCATTCTATGCCTGGTGTTGTACGAGGCATTGGGTATGCAAAGATGATCCCTTTACTGTCTGTTGTCTCAGTTGTACTGTCTTGGGAAGAAGCTATCTTTTACACAGTGCCTAGTCAGAGGGGGAAGTGAATTAAATTACGTGGTACTGGTCATTTAAATCTGCCATCTCACTAAACTCCCTGCCACACAGATTGGTCTATGTCATGATTCCCATTTACAAATAAGAAAATGTCTGAGAGAGGTTAGGTTGATTAGCCAGATGGTAATTCAATAGAAGTGGAAAATCAGGATTTCGACAGTGGTCTGTCTGAACCCTGGCACTTTTTCTGCACAAGTGCTTACTCTACACTGTAGATAAACAGTAAGTACTCCTGGGATGTGCCTCATGTGTTTAGCATTCCTAAGGCGGATCAGCTGTACGTTCCTGGAGTTGCCAGGGGCCTTAGAAAAGAAAGGAGGAAAGGTTGGCCAATCCACACTGTAATAGATTTTCTATGTAAGGGGTCCTCCTATGGCATAGGGAATGATGTTTTTTTGGCTTAGGACTTTCTGAACTTTGCTGTGAATATTTGTCTTTTTATACCATGACCTTGCCTTTTTTTTCTTTGTCTCTAACTTTGCTCTTCATCCTGTAGATGGGAGGAATCTCAACTGAGTACTCAACTGAGTACTCAACTGAGTGTGCTGAGATCTAAGTAACTCAGCATCTCCAGCTGGGACTTTCCACATAGCTGGTGTTGCATCTTGAGTTATTTGATGATAATTGGACCATTGGTCTCTAGTTTCTCAGGCTGATTCTGGAACAGCTCGCCCAGGAGGGAATCTGGTGGAATTGCTCTCTGTGGTGGGATCCCCTCCGGTCTTCAATGTAACATCCTGGTTGGTGGGGTGCAGCTCGGAGCTCCCACTCATCACTGCAAGGTAGGGAACTGTCTTTGCTCACCTGTCCCTCTGTAGGATTGCTAGTTGGCCTTGGTGGATGCAAAGGTGGGACTTTTATTAGGAAAAGCCACCTGTCTGGTTGCTTAAAGCGATGCTTCTCAGTGTTAAGAATGCTGTATCAGACACCGGGAGCTCTTGTTAAAACATAAATCACTGGGCCCTAAGCTTATCATCTTTAATTCAGTGGGTTTAGGGCAGGGTCTGAGAATTTGCATTGCTAATGAGTATCCAGGTAAGGCTGATTTTACTGGTCTGGGAATTAGACTTTGAGAACCAGTTTCTAGTGAATTTGTTTAAAAGTAGTGGTACATTTATGCTGTTCATGTCCCTCATTCCATTCCTGATATATTAATCTTATTGGAATCTGAGGCTAACTCAAAGTCTGAGGAACAAAAGTAGCTGTTTCTAAGAACTTACCACCAGATGGCACTAGAGCCCTATAAGCAATACTTCTTTACTAATCAAAATTTTCCAGCTGAGTTTACAAAGCAGTAACTAAAGATCAGGCTCCTCTAAGCTCCTAGGACATGTCTATGCTCTAATTCATTCTTTTCACTTTTCACTAAAACCCCAGTAGGATGGGAAACATTGAGATGCTCTGCCTTTAGATTTCTTTCCCTTCCCCCATCCCTTTCTTTTATATTTCAAAATTAGTTCTCAGAAACCATGCTCACACACAGTGTATTGATGCGAGGTGCAGAAAGCTTGACTTTGTGCTCTGCTTTCCTTGACATGGTCCTCTGGGCAGGAGAGAAGCGAAACCCATCAGAGAATGACAGAAAGGGCTTCTGTAGTGGAGAAGGAGCTGCCCCGTTAGTCAGCCTGCAGTCCTGTGCTTCCAACATCAACATTATTAACTCTGAAATGACAGGGGCGAATTTAGGTTATTCTGGACAAGGTCCACACTCAGAGTAGTCCTCACAACCTTCCTTTCTGATTTTCCTCAAGTCCCTTAGCTCCTTCTGGAAACCTCCAGCCCAGGTGAGACAGGACACCCTTCAGACCTGTCTCTCTGGGATTCACCCCCAACACAGCTAGTGACCCTCCGTCTGACTGCGTCTACCTGGTTGTGCACATCCATACATAGTGCTTACTAATGCTGTTGATAGAAATTAGACATGCTCATTGTTGAAAATTTGGAAAATATAGAAAAACATTTAGAAGAAGATAAAAATCACTCGGTCTGTCTGCTCAGAGGTAACTTCTAGTTACATATTAGATAATTATTGGATCTGTATTCTGACCACCTTTTCCCCAGCAGTTTCTGTATTCATATAGACATGAATATATTTACTATAAACCTGTTATTGGGACCAAAAATAACATATTATATTTGTAACGTCCTTTTCATCTTAGAGTAAAAATGGAAATTTACCCATTTCATTAAACATTCTTCTAAAATATAGTTTTTAATGTGTGAATGGTAGTCCATCTCATGGTGTGTCACAGTTTATTTGACCCATTTATCGTGTTCAGAGCAGAATGAGGCAGTCGGTATGTTTGCACACAGGTGTTAGAGAAGAGCTGGAGTGGCCTGGGTTCCAGCTGGAGATGCTGCAGGGAGAAGTATCTGTCACTGATGTTTCATTTGACTGTGCAAATGTTGTGGAGAATACCATAGTCTCCTGCTCTGGGCCTAGAGCCCGGAGGCCCAGGGAAGGGGAAGGACAGCACTCTCAAAGGGTCCTAATATTAACACCACACTTTGCCTGTTGTCATGGGAAAGGGGTACCCGATATTTGGGTATTTGAGCTCATGGTCTGGGACCACGGAAGACTAGTTGGTCTTTGAGAGGTAGCGGCACTCTGGAAGGTTACTGTGGCTAATGCTCAGTGTTTGCTGTGCTGCAGCCCTGTGCCCACTGATGGAGCAGAAGAAGGATCCAGGATGGTCCACGTGACAACACAGAGACTACAGAGAACAAGTCCACCTTTGGGAGGGCACTTTCACATCCAACTTTCTAATACAGTGATTCCTGGTAAAGGGGCAAATGGGGTGGGGGTGCAACACTTCTCATTTACATTTTTAGGGGCATTCCCAGGCCATCAACATCCTGTGAGATCATCAGGCATGGTATAGTCTTAAAGTGATTTTATTTATTTTCCAGGGTTGGAAAATGACCTTATTAAAATTAAAGGTCTGGACAATAACAATAACATATTTTTGCTAATAAAATCCCAACCTTTTCGTTTTATAGATGTGGAAACTGAGTGGATTAGCTTCTTGGAGCTGTCAAAACAAATGACCACAAACTGGGTGGCTTGAAACAAGAGAAATTTATTCCCTCACAGTCTGGAGGCCAGAGGTCTAAAACCAAGTTATTGGCCGGGCCACACTTCCTCCAGAGTCTCATGGGGAGAATCCATCTCCTGCCTCTGCCAACATCTGGTGGCAGCCAGCATTTCTTAGCTGTGGCTACATTCCTTCAACCCCTGCCTCCACGGTCACATTGTCTCTGCCTCTTCTGCCTCAGAGCTCCCTCTGCCTCTCTCATGAGGATGCATATGATTGCATTCAGGGCCTGTCCCGACAATTCCAGATAAACTCTTCCTAAGATTCTTAACTTAACCACATCTTATACTATATATAAGGTAATATTCCTAGATTCTGGGGATTAGGGCAAGAGCCACTCAGGTTTGCCCAAAGATCATTCAGGTAGTTGATGGCAATGTCCAGGTGTGAACTCAGGTCCCTGATTTGCAGGTCAGTCCTCTTCTCTATAGAGTTCCCTAGGCCAAGGCCATGGTAGCCATGGTTCTTCTGAATTAAACTCCATGGTGGCACCATATGCTATCGAGGATTGTAGTGATCATAACAAAGGTAGAAAGAGCTATCCGATGCAATGAAAGTGGAATAGTTCCTAAATCTTCAGTAATATACACATTTCACAGAGGATGAGAATTAGACACGATTACAATATGGCGTTTAGTTGGTATAAACATGAAATCAGAAAGGAGGCTCAGGAGAACTCAAGAGTGGCTGTATAACAATTGGCATATGGTCCAAAAATCTTCTACCCTCCAGGCAGAAAGATGCTGGGCTTGCTTGCAAAGAATCTTCTTGAGTGGGAGGAATGGTGTGGTATTTTTACTCTAATAGGGCAACTTAGGGAAAGTGGATGGTACCCAGGCTATTGGAGCCTACTAGACGGGTGAATAAGTGCCAACGGTGCCCTGCCTCTGTGAAGTCCATCATTGCTGCCCTTATCATGAATGAGAAGCTGCAGCCCGAGTGCAGGGAGACTCCTCCCACCACCACCTTCTATTGCTGATGTTGCCTCACATCATTGCCTGAAGAACAACTGGGGGAAGATGGCCCTAACCTGGCCTTTTGAAATGGTGATGACCTCAAATTATGTAAACATAGAACAATCTTTTTGAAAAGGATGAGAATTTTGTTTGCATTTTAGAAATATGGTAGCATTTTATTAACACCCCAGGTATGGGTATTAAGAGGAAAGCTCTTGGGTAGGTAAAACCTGGATTTTAATTGAAACTGGTCTCACTTGGTTGGCAAGCTTCTGAATCTCCTTGGGTTTCTTTTTTCTTAATCTCTGAAGGAGGAATTAGGGTACCCAATGACCCACCTCACAGGGCTGTTGGGAGCAGCTAATGAAATGGAAACTTTTGGTACAGCATGAAACAGTGCAAACATAAGCAGGGCTTAAGCACAGAGTGTTTTTCTCTATGGGGAGGTGGAATGAGGAAGCAGGTGGTTGGGCTTAAAGGAAATTCTAATAGAGAAACCGAAGTTAAATGCCAACATTCCTCAGCTGGGTTGGCTAAGTTTTATGGGTGTCAGCTGCTGTGTGCCTCCCTCACTCCCTGTGAAAGGTGGCCAACTTCTCTCTGTTCACAGAGCCAGCTACATTTTTCCTAGGGAACACCCAACATTTAATTAGACTTTCAGGAATTACCAGGGTGTCTGGAGTTTATATTTGAGTTGACAGTTGAGATAGTTTTGTCTGATGTGCCTGTGCTCTCTGCTTGCTGTGAGATGTGATATTGACTAAGGGTATCACGATATGAACTGTGGGCATCTACTTGCATTTGCCTTAGGAAAAAAGTGGTTTCACTGGGCTGGGGGTTCTCTTGAAGCTATATTTTGAACACGAGGGTCTCCCACATATTTAGTAGGTGTCTTGAGATTTATTCTCTGTTATCTTCATGATGACACCCTGTTATCTGCATGAGGAGGTAGAATAATGAAGGTCTTGTGTTTTCTATATTAAAACCTTTCCCACAGATGTCCCTGTACGTATTTCAGCTAGTCACCTTCACAAGCTCTTACAGGACAGTGCTGATGACTTCACCTCCAGGTACCTCAATGTCAGCGACTTCACTGTGATGGAGGATCTGAAGTCTTGCTATGAACATGTGTGGACCCTCTCCTGGTCCACCCAGGTTGGGGATTTGCCCAATTTCATCAAGGTATGTTTAGTATCCCTTTGGGTGGTATGGATTTTGTGTCCTGGGACAGAGTTGCAAAGAAAAATATCAGAATGAGATGAAACTGTCATGAATTATTGGTTTTGTTAGAATATTTAAGTAAAAGGGCCAGTGATCTTTCTTTCTGGAAGTTTTCAAGACATAATTTGTATCTCATATCTCTGATAAAGCAATTTGAACCTAACGTCTCCTTCCCTAAATTAGTGTAGGTAGAGACCTTATTGGTCAGTGTCCACCATACAGTGATTCTACATCCGTTATTGGATAATTTAAGCAGATGTGATTGACTTAGGTTGTCAGGGAGGCAGATGGCATAGCAGAAGGAAGTTTAGAAAAGGATTTGCTGTCTTTGGGTAATGACAAAACCAGATGTGCTTGCATATTTAGGGTTTTAAAAAATAATCTAATGCTCATCTAGCTTTTGGTTATTATAAAATGAAACCTAAGGTGGAATTTGATCCCAGTTATATGCTATTGTGAGTCATCTGGTTTTCAAATAAAATACTTCGGTGGAGATGAAGGACCAGAGTCATCTCATAGCACTGGTTCCTTACATTTTATTGTAATATTTTAGATTGCAAACACAAAATAGAAAAGCACATAGAAGCAAAAATATCTCAAGACTTAAAATAAATGATTAATTTTTTATGTCTTTTTACACAACCACTTGCAAATAACTATTGCTCTAATTTACTGGGGCTTTTATTAGCCATTACTTACATTAGGTTTCCAGTTTTCAGTCCCCTACCACTCCATTTTTACTTTCTAGCTATCTTATTATCTTTAAGTGCAAAAAACCTTTTTTATTTGTTTTCATCAAGATTAGGCTGCTATTCCATGAGTGAATTGACCAGAAATGTGCTTGTCTCAGGTCTCTGATGCAAACCTAACTGGAGTGAACCCCACTGCAACCACTCGTGTAGTATACGATGGTGGAGTTTTTCTTGCACCCATATTTGGAGACATGTTGGTTACTGCCAACCAGCACACTCAGGTGAGAGTGGATGGGCCAGCTAAAGTGCTAGGACTAGCTTCAAGTCTGTCTCAGCCCCTCCCTGGTTTGTAATGTGGACCAATCCCAATGATCAGTTTTCTAGCACATAACACAGATAATTATGGCTTTCCTCTTTCTCCTTCCACAGGATATGTAAAGTACTCTACAAACATTAAGTGCTTTGTAAATACAACATCCTGTTATTATAATTATTGGTGCTATTATTATGGTATAAAAATAGAGAACCTCTGTAACTACACATGATTTATACCTCTACATGGTGGCTTTGAAAAGTAAATGAGCTAACTCAACTCCTTTTCTCTTTAAAAATGTCTTTTTTTATTTTTCATCTGCTCATACTTCTCTTATAAGTCATCTGTTTTTAAGAAAAATTTAAAATACAAAACTATAAAGAATAATATACCAACATCAGAGTATGTAAACTGAGGATTAATCATCATCAACATGCTGATATATCTAATATCTTTTGTCTTTATGAATAAAATAAAACAATATAGAAAAAAATCAGTGTTCTTTATTGATTATGCTTTCATGCTATCCCGATATCCATTTCCTCCATAAGCAAACACTATTATAAATATAGTGTGCACACTTTGAATCCATATTTCATATGTAGAGAGTCCAATGAACATATCTTTTTCACCTTCCTCATTTCCAAGTGTTATAGAGTTTGATTAGATTAACATTGGTTCCAGGAAGAAAGAAAGACCTATGAAAATGGACTCTTGAACAATGCGGGGGCTAGGGACACTGACCCCCCTCACAGCAAAAAATCTGTGGATAAATTTTGACTGCCCATATTCTGTATATTATATGTACTATATACCATATATGATAGAGTAAGTTAGAGGAAAAATATTATTAAGAAAATAATAAGGAAGGAAAAAAACTTACAGTGTTTGTAAAAAATTATCTGTGCATAACTGGACCTATGCAGTTCAAACCATGTTGTTCATGGGGCAACTATAGTCCCTTTTTGGGGCCTGACCATTCTAGGACAAAAAAGACCCCAGAGAAAGGGTCTAAATACTCTAATCTTTAGTTACATACCCACATAGGAATTCTGGGAGGAAGGTGCCTACTCCATTGGCATTTACCAGCAAGAAAGGGCTTTTCACAGGAAATAGCTACCTAGGTGAGAATACAGAGTGATAAAAATTCCTTGTGCAGTTTGAATTTTATTAAATTTAGTTTTATATGAAAGAGAGGAACATTTAATTGTAGAAATGTAAGGTTTTAGCATGCTCACAATCAGCCTATGAAAGTCTGATAAATTTTGAGCCATTCATTACAATTTAAGGTTTATTACTGGGAAGTAGAAGAAAGAAAATAAATAAATTACTAACACATTTTAATTTGGACAAATTTCACAAGTACCTTATGAATACTCTTGAGTACACAAAATGCATACATTTGGGTTTAATTCTTTTGCCTCTTTTCAGGTGGTTGTGCGAGTGAATGACATACCGGCTCATTGCTCAGGTTCCTGCTCTTTCCAGTACCTTGGAGGGTCAACTCCCCAGGTCCACTCTGTGTGGTATTCCCTTGGTATGATTTGCAGCTTGGAGTTGAGATTGTTGTGATCTTTAGACTAGAGTGATTTTTTAGAGGTCCTGTACATGGTGATGGGTGGATAGAAGGTGCCTCATTTTAGAGAGTGGGTGTTTAGTGATGCAGCAGAAAGGGTATTTTTTGGCCAATGTAACTGATATGGTCACAATTGGAAATGAAGACAAGCAGATTTTTGATGACTTAAAGTATTTTATTTTCTCTGTCCCTTGTTTCGAAATATTCTTTACTTTGAATTCCTGGCCCCCATTTTGCTTTATCCGTTGTTACTAGTTTGAGACAATTTAGGAGGGGGGCTGTGTGCTACAATGATAAATGCCAATGTTTAATATTTGAGTCCATATTCAACTCCTTAATTTTGTGAGGGGAAGGTGAGAGGAAATGAACATCTGGTGTTAAAGACAGTTCTCTGAAATGGAGTAACATCATTGAGAGATGATTTTGTTCTTTTTATTTTCTTTCCTCCTTTAAGACGGTGACACGGCCTTACTGGTTTATATTGCTGGAACTAGTTTCTCGGGTGACTCCCATGCCTTGCAGATTACAGTGAACAAAACGAGTTGCAAAGTTATTTTCTCAAATCAAACACGTGTGGTCTGTCAGATAGATCTGCTGCCTGTTGGAGTGTATCTGATCTCAATGTTGGTGAGACCCTCTGGTCGTGCCATCAATGCCAGTGGGGAAGGCCTCTTCCTGAATGTGGAACCCAGACTGGATGCTGTGGAGCCTGCCATAGCTGCAGAGATTGGTAATACGGGGAGGACCCCACATTGCCTCTGAATTTCTGTAGGTAGCATTCTTGCTGACATGCAGGAATCTAGACTTGCCATGTAATAAATTCTGTATCCACTGTGATTCACAGCTTTTTGTTTTCTGTCATCAGCATTTCTTCTAATGAGCAACAGACCTTTGAGCCCTTAGATGAACTCACTTGCTACATAGTTTGGCTGATGGTATTAGGCATAATTGGGTCAGTCACTGAGTCACAGGGACAATTTGGTTTAGTGGAAACAACACTAGATTGGGTGTCAGGACTTATGTGCCTGGGTTTTCGTGATGCTAAAGTCAGATGTGTGACCTTAGAAATGTTGGTTACTTTTCAGAGACTTTAGTTTCCTAATAATGATGACGGTAGGCATAATGTCACTTATGGAGTATCTCTTCTAGGTACTCTCACACTGTAAATGCTTACAGCTGCCTGGAAGATGGAGTTACTATCCACATTGTTCAGATGAGATAATGGTGTTTCTGAGAGAACAGTGACTTGCCCCAGGCTATCCAATGGAAAGAGGTGGACTTACAAACCGGAATTGTCAGATGCCAAGGATCCTGCTGCTTCTGCATGCCATGCTCTCCTAGTTATACTGTGGGCCTAATGATGCTTAACTGGTAGACCTCTTGGTTTTGTATGAGATTAAAATGAATCAACAGTGGGAAAGTCCCTTGAAAAGTACATACATATGCACATGAGATGTGAAGGTCTTGCCCACTAGAAGCCTTGCACATAGTGGGTGTTCACAGATGTTTGCAAACTGACACACACTTGGTTACTTGGCTGGCATGCAAAGCCAGCTACCATTTGAGTAGTGGGGTATAGAGAGAGGAGTGGGGTACAGGGAGGGCAGTGGGTCTTGTCGGTGTCAGGGATGGACTGGATCTTGGTGTCATGAAAACCAAGAACCCCTTTGTGCTTTCTGAGGGACATGAGCAATTGAAAACAATCCAGCCAGATTGCAAGAATCTGAGAAATAGAAAAATATATATTTGACACTATATGTAATTATACATATTTTTACACATATATGTTACATATGTATATGATTTTTGGAACCTTAAACTCCTTCCTTATTGCTGTGGAGTTTATTCTGTTGGACAAAGACCTGTGGCTGAAAATATTTTTTGAAGTGGTGTTTCCTGGCCTTAAATGCATTGTTCAAAGGAATGGCTTGTTTCTGACTTGACTTTGCCTGGGAGAGTGAATTATGAGGCCAACGCTACCTCATCTCTGCACATAAAATAGAGTAAGCTTTCTCTTATTTCTCAGTGATTTAGGGAAAAAGCCAGATGGTATGTGGTGCTCACGGTAAAAGATCATATTCTACATTAACCCAATAATTATTAGTTTGAATTTAGGGCATGTACTAGCCTTCCCAGTAGATTTATAAGGGGCTTGGATCTTATCAAGTTACCTTTGAAGTTCAGGCCACACAAACCTTCTTTAGCTCAGCCTGCCCCACTAGATTGCAGACATCTCGATGGCAGACAGGTGACTCGGTCATCTTTGTTTTCTCTAGAGAGCGTGCCTTGCACAGGCTAGCCAACTGTCCTGATTTTCCTGGGACTGAGGGGTTTCCCAGGATGAAAGAATTCCAGTTTTAAAACTGAGTCATGGAACTCTTAATGCTAAAATTCAGAAAGTCCCAAGCAAACAAGTTGGTCCTTCATCCTGTCACCTAATCAAGGCATGCTGTAACAACACTATGGAGTGAAGTGATTTGTCTGGGAGGTGGTACATCATCTCTCTATAAGAAGGAATAATGTTGAGTGGGCATAAATTAACTTTTAGTAAAGACTAGGAAAAGGGAAGGAGAGAGGGAGAGGTTTCACTTGTTACTGTCCTTATGGCTGGATTTAAACTTTCCTTCCACTCTGCTACCTACCTTGTATCAACCAGACTCACTCACTCACTCACTCACTCACTCAACACTAATGAAGCCACCCTGTGTAAATCCCTGTGCCAGGTGCTAATGATCTTGCCACTCAAAGTGTGGTTCTAGACTAGCAATATCCACGTCATCTGGGAGTATGTTAGAAATGCAGAGTCTTGGACCCCATATCAGACGTTCTAATCAATCTGCATTTTAACATGAATCCTAAAGCAATTTCTATGAATAGTGCAGTTTAAGCAACAATGTGTTAGAGGATTTAAAGAGAACCAGGCTGAGTCCTACTAGAAAGGAATTTACAAATAATCTAGTATGTAATGAATACATATAATAATGTGACAATATTCTAAATCACTACTTTCACATGTGCAGAAGCACCCTCAAAAGGGTTTTAAAGGAAAATCTTGGCTTTGGAGTACATACTTCCTTGGCCCATTTCTTGCTGAGTTACAGTTGCCTTGTCTTTAGTTATGGGAACTTGTGAGGCACCTGCACTTTCAAATGGGAATAGCACAGTGTCACCCCCTCTGCAACTTTCAATTATTAACATCAACAGTAATAATAACAATGATTTATTTAGCCCTTATCATGTACTGGAGACTATTAACGCTAGGCATACAGTAAATTAAAGTGAAGTTCCTGCTGTCATGGAGGTGGTGGTTAATTGTGTCAGAGAAAAATCAAGCAGGGGAAGAACCACTAAAGGAGTGGTGGCTGTGATGGGAAGGCCATTGGCACTAGAGCATTGATGTGGATGGCTCTGGAGGATGGAGGCATGGATAGTGGGAAGGGGTAAGTCCTGGGGAACTCTGGAGAAGAGAGCCATAGGCAGAGGAATCACCAAATGGTAAAGTCTTCAGTCAGAATGAGTTTGGCTTATTATAAGAATACCATGGAGGTCACAAATGGCCATTTGTATATCTTCTGTGGAGAAATGCCTATCCAAATCCTTTGCACATTTAAAAAATTGGGTTAGTTGTTCTTTTATTAAGTTGTAAGAGTTCTTTATATAGTCGGAGTCTCTTATTAGATGTATGATTTGCAAATGTTTTCTCCCATTTGTGGGTTGTTAATTTATATTCTTGATAGCAGTCTTTGAAGCACAAAAGTTTTTTAAATTAATTTAAAAATTTTATTGTTGTTCAAGTACAGTTGTCTGCATTTCCCCCGCCCCCAACTCCCTTCCACCCGAGCCATCCCCACCTCCCTCCCCTGATTCCACCCCACCATTGGTTTTGTCCACATGTCCTTTACAGTAGTTCCTGAAAACCCTTCTCCGCTCTGTTCCCTCACCACTCCCCTTTGGCTATTGTTAGATTGTTCTTATTTTCAATGACTCTGGTTATATTTTGTTTGTTTTTTCTTTTGTTGATTATGTTCCAGTTAAAGGTGAGATTATATGGTATGTGTCCCTCACCACCTGGCTTATTTCACTTAACATAATGCTCTCCAGTTCTGTCCATGCTGGTGTAAACGGTATAAGCTCCTTGTTTCTCTCTGCTGCATAGTATTTCATCCTGTAAATGTACCATAGTTTTGTGATCCATTCATTTGCTAATGGACACTTAAGTTGCTTTCAGCACTTGGCTATTGTAAATTATGAAGCCCAATTTTTTTGACCAAGTCCAGTTTATATGTTTTATCGCTGTTGTTGTTTATGCTTAGGTATCATATTTAAGAAACAATTGCCTAATCCAATGTCACTAAGAGTTGTGCACATGATTTTTTTTCTCTAAGAGTTTTGCAGTTTTAGCTTTTGTGTTGAGGTATCTGATTCATTTTGAGTTAACTTTTGCATATGATGTGAGCTAGGGGTTGTATTAGTTTTCTAGGGCTGCTTATCCATGCACCCCAAACTGTATCATTTAAACAGCAGAAATTCGTATCCTACAGATCTGGAGGCTAGAAGTTAAAAATCAAGATATTGGCAGAATTGACTGCTCATGAACCAAGCTCTGGGGAAGAATCTGTTTCATGCTTCTGGTGATTCACTGCCACTCTTTGGCATTCCTTGGCTATAAAAGCATCACCTGATCTCTACCTTGTCTCTTGTTATGGACTTTGTTTTAAGGTCTACTTTGTCTGCTAAAAGTATTGCTACCCCAACTTTTTTTCATGCCCATTTGCTTGGAATATTTTCCCCATCCCTGTATTTTCAGCCTGTGTACCTCTTTTGTTCTGAGGTGGGTCTCTTGCAGACAGCATATATGTGGGTTATGTTTTCTTATCCATTTAACTACCCTATGCCATTTGATTGGTGCATTTAAGCCATTTGCGTTTAAGGTTATTATTGATAGGTATTTATTCTTTGGCATTTTTTTCCCTTTGTGCCTCTGTTCCTCTTGCTTTCTTTTTCTTTATCTTCTTAAAGCAGTCCCTTTAGCATCTCTCACAATGCTGGTTTGGTGGAGATATACCCTTTTAGTCATTTTTTTGTCAGGGATGCCCCTTATTTTGCCTTCCATTTTAAATGACAGCCTTGCTGGATAGTCTAGTCTGGATTGCAGTTCTTTGTTTTTCATTACTTGGAATATTTCATCCCATTCCCTTTTGGCTTGTAGTGTTCCTGTTGAGAAATCAGCTTATAGCCTTATCAGAGCTCCCTTGTATGTTACTAGTTGTTTCTCCCTTGCTGCCTTTAAGATTCTTTGTCTTTAGATTTTGTCATTTTAATTATGATGTGTCTTGGAGTGGGCCTCTTTGGCTTCATCTTGATTGGGACCATCTGTGCTTCCTGAACTTGTGTGACTTTTTCCTCCTCAAGTTAGGGAAGTTTCCTGTCATTATTTTTTCAAACAGGTTTTCTCTCCCTTTCTCCTTCTCCTTCTATAATCTCTATGATGCAAATACTGTTATGGTTCATGTTGCCTTGCAGTTACCTCAAACTATCTTCTTTCTCCTTGAGTCTTTTTGTTTTGTTTTGTTGCTCTGACTGGGTGTTTTTTTCTACTTTGTCTTCCAACTCACTGATTTGATCCTATGCTTCATCTAGCCTCCTTTTAATTTCTTCTAGTGCATTCATCATTTCAGATATTTTATTCTTCATTTCCTCCTGGCTCTGTATACTTATACATAGTTTCTATGTCCTTTTTCATACTGATGTAGTTCCCACTAGGTGCCTTGTAGTTCTCACTAAATTTATTTAGCATCCTTATAACCATCACCTTGCACTCTGTTTCTGATAAATTGCTTGCCTCAACATTAGTTAGCACTCTTTCTGGGGATTCCTCCATTTTTTTTAGTTGAGGGTTATTTCTTTGTCTCTTCATGTTAAGTGGCTCTTTTTGTTTGTTTCTGTTTATTAGATCGATCTACTTTGACTCCCTCTCTTTGTGGAGTGGCCTTCTATCGTAGGAGTCCTGTGGGGCTCAGTGGTGCAGTCTCCTTGATCTCCTGAGCGGGATACTCTAGGGTTGCCCTTTATGCATTTTATATGGGCTCTCTGTTGTATTTGGATTTTGGTTGTTGTTGGCATATTCATTGATGGGTTCTGCCCTCTGGCTGGCTAACTGAGAGTTACAACCCCCACCACATCTTGTATTGTTGTATAGGAGTTGTCTGAAGAAAACAAAACAACCCAGCAAACAACACTCAAACCAGCAAAAATACCCCCAACCACTATCATGATATCAACAACAAATGTGCTAAGATTAATAAAGGTAGAAAGTGAATAAGAATAATATACAAAAAGAAAAAATGAATATGAACTGACTGACAGAAAGAAAAATGATTTTGAGAGGGTAAGGGTAGGAGAAATAATAATGGCATGGATTAGAAACAAGGTGAAAAAGGGAGAAAATAAAATTTACAGCATAAATAAAATAGGGAAGGAATAGGGCAAACTGAAGTCAGAGAAAGGAAGAGTACAGTATGAGGTTTGGAGAAAAAAATAGGAACCAAACTGAAGAAAAACAATCACTGCTGCAACATCCATAACAAAGGAACAAAGAATAATAAAGGCAGAAAGAAAATAATAATATTATAAGAAAGAAAAAAGAGAAAAGAAAAAAAGATTGTGAGATAGCTAAGGGATAGCTAAGAGGATAGAGGGAAGAGAAATAGTAAAAGTAAGGGTTAGACACCTGGCTGAGAAAGGGAGAAAATAAAATTTAAAACAAAAATAAGACAGGGCAGGAGGAAGGTGGAATGGAGTAGGACAGGGGAACAGTAAAATATGAGATTGGAATTAAAACTAAAATAAAAGTAAAATAAAAAAGTAATAAAAATAATATATAAATAAAAAATAAAAAATAGTGAAAAATAGGAACAAAATTGAAAATAGACAATGTTTCAAAGCTACACAGGAGAAAAATAGCACAAATAATAAAAAAGACCAAGGTGGAATTCACCTCAGCAGGGTCTACTGTTTGTTGGCCCACTGCCTTCTCCTTCAGGGTCCATCCCTGATGGCAGCTGGTGTCCCAGTCTAGCTTTAGGGCAGCCTGTTTGAGGTTACAAGTGGTCCACAGTCTGTGGCTATCTCTTTCAGGCTTGGCTGGCCCTCACTCCTCTGCCCTGCTGGCTTTTTATTAGCATAGGGTCCACAGGTGGTTCATCTAACACCCAACAAGCACTACATATACCACTTCCACTTACCTCCAGAGGGGGCCCCTGGTGTGATCAGAGAGTGCGATCCCCAGATCACCCTCTAGGAGGTGCTGCTCAGCCTTCAAGGAAGATGGTGGGTGTGTTCTCCTGCACCACACATTTTGGTCTGTCCCAGATTATTTCTGATGATCTAGCTTTCTGTTTCATGTGAGGGGACAATATGTGTAAAAAACTCAGTTCTTTCCTGCTTGATCCTGATGGCAGCTCTGTGTGAGAGCCGAGGCTGGGCAGGGCCCTGAATACTTTCACTGCACCAGTTTCTATTTTCTCTGCTCTGCTGTTTTCAGTGGAATAGGACCCAAGGAGGAGCTAGCACAGCATCTGATAAAAGTTCATGAGGGCTCCTTTGGAGATTCTCTCTCCCCTGAATATATGTGCCTGGCAGGTGGTTCTGGAGCCTGGCTTTACTAGTCTGAGGAGCTTGCAGTCCTGCAGGTAGAGAATGGGCATGCCTTCCCCTTCCCAGAGGTTTGTACTCCATGGTTGGAGTGGCCTTGTCTGGCTGCGAAGAATCTCAAGCTCTCTGCTCTAGCCCTTCAAGTTCCTAGATCACTGCTCTCACAGGAGACTCAAACCCAGATTCTCCATTCTGTGTGCAGTGCGTCCCCTCACCCCCGCACCCCCTACTCACCAGCCATGCTGGGTGTGGCCCTGCAATCCCTTCCCTGCAATCCCTTCACTGTGGAGCCTTCTACTCTTCCTAGCCAGGTGGCTTCAGTAGGTACAAACTGCGTTTTGAATCTGGCCTCTGTTGGCAGGGCAACTGTGTGCAGGTGAGTTCCCTGCTTAACTACATCTCTGTTCCCGTCTTAAAAAAAGTGTCTATGTGGCACCCCCACTGCAGCTCTGAGCCACTGCCCAGTTCCTAGTGCACTCCACTTCCCCGAAAGGCAAAATGTCTTTCTTGGTCAGGGCTGGCCACAGCCTGCCTGGTGCCTCTGACCGTTGTAGGAGATAGAGTTTTGCTCTTGAGCTCTCCCCATTGACACTGCAGCTTTGGACATGCTGCTCACTGTGTGTGTGCAGCCTGAATCTCCCAGACTGCATATATCCTCCCAAGTTCTCTTAGGATTAGCGTGGGGAGTTCCCTGTGCAGGGACTGGGCTCCCCACTCTGGGAGGGGCAGGAGCTGCTAAGCTGCGTTTTTCTTTCCTCTGTTCTCTCCTTTGCTCCAGGTACCTCATGCAGGTATTTCCCCTTCAATTTATAAATCACTTACTAGACAGTGCAAAGCTTCCTCTGTACTCCTTTGTTTCAACAATTCCTAACAGCTAAGATTCCATTGATTGTTCAGGTCACTGGTTGGGAGATCAGCTGAAAATCTGTGTTGGGGGCACAAGCAAGTGGGCTCAGCTTCCACCTACTCAGCCGCCATCTTCTCCCCACAACCCAGTACAGGAGGCTGTTTTTTAAAGATGAGGAAAGTCAGAAGCAGTGAACTCAGGGACAATATTACAAAGGATCTGCTTTAATTGACAGAGCAATCTATGTCCCTGACTCTGGGACCACTGCTCTTTCTACTTTGATTCTCCCTTATATAATACTTCATATTTCTGGAAAAAATAAGTTTTACGGGATTGTCAGGGATGACATTTAAAACTCTCAGGCAGGAAAGGTTTTTCAGAGATCTCGGACTTGTGGTAGTATTGTATCTCTATGTTTTATTTGTAAATAACTCCAAGGTATACTACTACTTCTCTCTGCCCCCTAGTCACCATTTCTACTTCTCTATACAGCAGTTTATATATTTAGCTTCACTCTTTCTCTGCAGTTTGAGCATGCCTTGTATTTTGATTAAGGAACTTCAAATTTTAATTGCATTTTATCTCTCTCATGGATAATTAATTTTTGTCTGCCTGCATGGCTGTAGAGCCCATCTGAAAATGCTGTTTTTTGTTTTTGTTAAAGGAGGGCTCTGGGCCACCATCCGAGGTTCTGGTTTGGAAGACGTTAGCCTGGTATTATTTGGATCTCAGTCTTGTGCCATCAATGTCACCACAAGCAACTCACGAAGAATTCAATGCCAAGTTCCACCCAGAGTGAGTGGAATCCTTTGGCATCCCTTCTGTCTGTGTGGGTGACTGTTACCATGTAGTGTAAGGTTGTCAGTGAATCATTTCTGAGAATTAAATTAATTGACGTGACCTTTTCATCATGAGAGAATGCTCATATTGTTTATATTGCCAGTTCTGCTACGAAGTGGGAAGCTGACTCCTACCCATGGGGCTTGTAATTAACATCACATAATTTTCTTTAAAAGAAGACAAAGAAGAAAGTCCCAGGCCATATGCTCAATGAATATTAGTGCCACATAATAAATAAGTTTATCTAGTGACCATTCTGAGTGTTGGTGTGTAACTTACATATCTTTCAATCTCATTTCTATCTTAAGCAAACAACAAGTAATCTAGTTTTCACCAGCAACTTTGTTTTCTGGGATGGATGTGAACGGTCGAACCTAGACACTAACTTAGACACTTCCGGAATATTTTGTTCCTATAAAATAGTTTCTTGGTTATTTCCTACTGTTTCCTTTCCCACTTAAAAGCAAGTCCCTCCCTTCACTGTCTATTTTTTTTTCTTAAAGAAAAAAAAATAACTAAAGAGTTAGTACTCTCTTCTGGCCTGTTAAGAGATTTGAGCCCAGGCCCCTCCATGGAGCTGTTAGTGAGTGAGAGCCATGCTCCTAGCTGAGCCTGCGCTTTGTGGTCACAGCTGATGTCAGTGTCATCGACATTCCTAGTATGTCCGTGACCCCCACAGATGGTTGTTTACTGAACAAATAAAGTTCTCTGGAGGAGAGGATCCAGAATAATCTTTGATCGCTGGTGCCACATTTTTATCTTATCCAGTTACTAAAATATTATGAAATGTTAGCTTTTGCATATAAACTGCATGCAATTTCAATATATGGTTATATTGTAATTTGTTTAACTATTCGCTATTAGTGGACATTAAGATAATGTCAAAAATTTCCTATTTTAAACAATAGAGCTTTCATCATCCCAATCACTATTTTGGTCATATTTACTTTTCTCAGGATATGTAGTATCCAGTTGTCTGAAATTCCTTTTAAATTTATACTCTTACTATCACTGTACAAGTGTCTGATTTCTGGTGCTTTGGCCAACACTGGATATCATAACTTTAATAGATATTTACATTTTAATGAGTAAATTTTGTATTGTTTGAATTTCTTTTACTCAAGAGAATAAACACTAAAAAACAAACTTTTAATTTTGATCAAAGCAATCTTTGCAAAGTTTAAAAGGAAAATAGTAAAATAATCATACTCTCCTACCCTCTCTCCCCTGCTTCAAGTCCCCTTTTCTGAAACAACTATTTTTAATTCTTTTTTTTTAAAGATTTTATTTATTTATTTTTAGAGAGGGCAGGGAGGGAGATAGATAGAGAGAGAGGAACATCAATGTGTGGTTGCTGGGGATTATGGCCTGCAACCCAGGCATGTACCCTAGCTGGGAATCGAACCTGCAACACTTTGGTTCATAGCCTGCGCTCAATCCACTGGGCTACACCAGCCAGGGCTTAATTCTTTTGAATATAGTTATAAAACCATTATTTCTTGAATTAACAAACTATGCTTACATGATTGTAACTATTTAAATGATGCTGGAAGAATTGGTGAAAAAAATATACATGTATATATGCATTTGCAGTTTTTTTCTTAGAGCTTTTTAAAACATGGTCTTCCTCATAATTAAAATCTTCTATCTTAAGAAAAAATTGCATCTTATTAGCTACTTTTTCTTTAAGCTCTCTCTTACTTGATTAAATCAAACTTGATATTGTTGAGATTTATTCTATAGATTTTATCCTAGCACTTTCCTTGATTGAAGTCCTGAGTAGAGTCATTTCTTAGAATACATGTTAGAATATCTTTCCTTTTTGGATGTTGTTTACTCTATGAGATCATAGCCTTAAGAAACATCCTAAAAATGAATGTGTCAAAGGGAGGTTTTCTAAGTGCTTACATGTCTGAAAGTGTTCTTATACTTGATTGATAGTTTAGCTAGGTATGGATATTTATTTGAAATTGCATTTTCTTGCAGAATTAACTGGTGTATTCATTGAAAATCTTGTTTACTCTTTAATTAGTTTGATGCTGTACTTGCTTATTATAAGCTTTTGTCACAGTGTGTGTGTGTGTGTGAGAGAGAATTTATATTTGAAAGTAGCAAATATACTCTCTAAAAACAATTTTTATGGGATTAACCTTTTAAACTAATTGTATATGACGCTCTCTCAGGCCGTTCTTATTTACAAAGGTTTGGCTTAAAATATTGATTTTCCAGGGAAAAGGTGGACCCATTGTGAATGTGACCGTGATCAGTGGGGACCACTCTGCAGCTCTCTCTGTGGCATTTACATACGTCTCCTTTTTAAACCCAGTGATCACGTCTCTGAGCAGAAACAGGAGCAGCATAGCAGGTAAGATACATGATATAAAAGAATCACTTTATTTTTAGATCATTGATTCCATAAAAAGGAAAACAATAGCTTATACATTTTATTGAGCTTTATTTAGTGTTATATTTGGGATGAAAGTTAGTTTTCTAAAAACTGGGAGATTGGTATTCTCATTTTTGCCATCACTGAATAAAGCTTCTTATGTTTATTTTCACTCTGTAAAACTGGGACTATTTCCACCATGAAAATGGCATGGGAGGTTAAAGGTACCAATTCGACAAACAATTATTAAGCACCTAGTATGTGTCAATAGCATGAGTATATAATAGACTTGAATTCCTGTCCCTAATTTACATAATTATTAGCCTCAGTTGACAGGTAGGTAAGGAATAGAAAGAATAAATAACTTGTCTAAGATATTACTTTAAGTAAGTAGCAAAGCTGGAATTTGAAACAAGCTACCTGGTTGCAGATTCCAAGTAGTTAGCCACTCATAGTTTACTATAAAATACTATTTCTATAAATAGAATCATATTCTATTATAGCAGTTTTTTGATGTGATTAGAGAATAGGGTGTTCTGATTAACCAAGAATTCTTGTTCCTTTAGACATACCATATATAAAAAGAACAAATTATTTAGCATACCACTGCATGAAACAATTTAATGTTTCTTTGATAATTCAGATGATACGACAGGATAAAAATATAACAATTTGTTATCCTGTCAGACCATATAGATTTGGAAAAGTACAGGTAACCCACCTTTCTGATTAATTGAATGCCAGATAGCAGAGGGTTTATGGCAGCCATATGTGTTTATTGTAAAAGACCATCAAATCCCCCTCCCTCCAAAAAACCCTGGGAATCAATTTTTCTGGTACCATTTTCATTTTCCATTGCTCTGGAGTACATAAATAAAGGGAAGTGTCCTTTAGCTTCTCAATATTATTCATCTCGGATAGTGCAGAAGAAGAATTTGCGGCCTCAGGCAACCGAAGTGTGTAAAATTCCTTAGTGGTATAGATTCTTCCCAATGAAGTAAGAAAGGGAGGGGGAGCTTAGTGTTCTATTCAGATTTCAGTGATTTTGGCTTTTAATAAAATTTCTTACCGATAATGAAAAGAATAAATATATTGTATCAGTGCCTCAAAGGCATCTAGGATTAGCTTGACAATTGACCAAGAGTCCAAGGAGTTCATGGTATTGATATATACAACACGATGCATTATGTGCAGAATTTACACTTGCATTTAAATCTTTCTACAGGCAGAATAAAGAACATGTTATGAAATCCACAGAGTGGTAGTATATTGGGAAAGTCTCTTTGAAAGCTGGGGTGTGATACATCTCCATCCAGGAGATGATTATGTTGAATGTGACGATAAAGCCAACATGAATCAAACAAAGAGGAGGGGTGGGGAGGGCGGGGAATTTGATGTGCAGAATCATTCCAGTGTTTTTTGTCCCAGTCATTTAGCACTAGATATTAATGAATCCCCACTCAGCCATTCCTTGGGCAAGATAGTTACCTTCCTTTATCTTTAGTTCCTTTGACTGTTAGGTGGGAATAATTCTTTTGAGGTTATTGTGAAAGTTGGAGATAAAGTAGCTAAAGGTACCTAGTCCAGGAGCTAACAGAGAGTAAGCACTCAATAAACGCTTTGCGAAGGCGACTGCCACCATTCTCCAGGTGCTGTGTTATAGTCAGGAGCCAAAGAGGGCCTTCGTGCAATGGCCCAGTGCTGTTGGCTTTTCCAAGGCAGGCTGGGAGTCTGCTGTGAAAACTCAAATGTCGGTGTGAAACTCAAATTTTCATACTTAATTATTTTAAATATAGCCCCCCAAAGTAACTTTTTTGGCATTTTAGTGACTGCCTGCTTTGCATTCCCTGTAAAACTGCACCCAATATCTGCCAGACATAGATAACATAAACCTGGGGCTCTGAAGAACTCTAAACCTTGAAGCCCTGAGGAGTTCTCGAACCCAAAGACTATCCACCCTACCCATCGCACTGCTAAGTGACATCATCTAGACACATACACCCCTCTCTGACTGTGCTCCCCCCAGGAGTTTCCTTGCCTTCATTGCCTTCTGGGTGGTGGTCCCTTACTGTTGCCGCTGTGAGATTCTGCATCTGTGTGAACTTGTAAAACATCACCCATACACAGCTCAGTTTTTTGTACTGTGTTATCTTGAGGTCATATCTTTTTTCTTTCTCAACCCTGAAATTCCTTGAACTCACCATTCTGGGGCTTCAGACTTCACAGGAGAAACAAGGTTGGGAAGACACGAAGAAAGAAAGAGGATGTGGATGAAGTTAATTGAGGGCTTTTCAATACTGTGCTACACTGGAGGCTGTCCTAGGCTATCTACTATATTTTTCAGAGCATAAGACTCACATAGGTTTTAGAGGAGGAAAATAGGAAAAAAATTTTGAAGCAAAAAATGTGGTAAAATATTTAATAACATAAATAACATAATATTTCACCAATGCAAATGTAAACAACTCAAGAGCAGCATTAACAACCATTATTCCTCCCAAATTTGCGGGGGGGGGGAGTGTTTTATACTCTGAAAAATACGGTAACTTAATCCCTACAACAGACCACACAGTGTGCACTGTTACCATGTTACTGATCAAACATCCAAGGTTTTGAGAACCCAAAGTGAGTCTCACAGGTAATTAAATGGGAGAGCAAGGCTTTAATTACATTCAATTTTTAGATTCATTTTTTTCACCATGCCACAAACCCTCCTCTTTGATGTTTATCTCTTAAGTAGCCTCTTCTCCTCCTCATCTAATTGGCTATGGTGTTTTACAGATGCCAGCTCTGTAGCAGTTCTCGAACATTAGCAGCTAAAGGGGGTTTAGATGCCTATGTCTTCATGTTCATTCCTGCCACTGCACACTTGATTTCTAGCCCTTTAAAGATGCCAATTGTCTGCAGAATGGATTTCCTCTCCCTATCTCTTCAACTGACCTTATAAATTGGAATAGTAGCTTTAATTATATTTCTTTGTGTAGAAAACTTTGGAGGCCTCTACTGTCCACTGACTTAAGTAGAGACCCCACAGAATTGGCTTTCTTGGTCTTCAGTCACAGAATCACCATCAATTTGACCTAGTCTACGACTGTCCTTAACTGTATGTTCATGTATCTGGTCCTCCAGAAAGTCACCCAATTCCCTTTCCTTCCCCAAAGCCACTGGATGATGAAATGAGAAAGTGCTACAAAAGACTTTGGGTAAAACTGTGAAGATTTTAGAACTGAATTCAAAATCCCCTCTTGTCTATCGTGGCCGCTTGGGATTTAGCTTTCAAACTGAATTTCAAGCACCATCTTCCCCATAAGGCCTTTCTTGATATTTCAAACATTACTCTAACTTGAACAGCCGACTATTTAGTTTTCACCTCTCTTATGGTAGGTTTTATAACTGAAGCTACTTTGGCACCTGTTACAGCACCTTTGAGGTCTCTTTGAGGGCAGGGTCTACGTGAAACTTATTTTTGAACTCCTTATAACACATTACTCTTGGTGCTGAATAATATTTGGTGTAAAAAGGATCAAGTTAGAGTGTCCATAATATAACAGAGCATTTTAGTACAGTTGCTAATTAAACTAAAAGGATATTTAAGTGTAAGTGTAAGGCTCAGGCCTTGACAATTCCATTAATTAGCCATGTAAACTTGGCCGCTGAACCTAGTTTTCTCAAAAGCTGAATGCCAGTCCCATTGACTGCTGCATGTATCTCGTCAGGACAGTGCAAAGGTCAAGTGGGATAACATATGTGAAAGCGCTCTGTAAACTGTAAATATGTTCTCATATACATCATTGTTATGGGGTTTGGTGCAAACTGAAGATACAGCTTTAGACTTCTATCCTAGAAAAGTGGAAGTTAAAAAACAGGACGTGGGGTTCTATTTGCTGCTTGTGAAGGCCTCCAGCCATCCAAACTATTTTTGGTTTGCCTCTACACTGAGATAAATTAGTTTGCCTTTTGAATATAATTGTCCTGACAAATTTGCTTTTTATGCTCTTGAGGTCATAGGCCATAGCTCTATTAAAGGCATGGTTAGCCTCAGAGGGTGTGGCTCAGTTGGTTGGATATTGTCCCACAAACCAAAAAGTTGCCAGTTCGATTCCCAGTCGGAGCGCGCCTGGGTTGCAGGCTCAATCCCTGCTTGGGGGAACGTACAGAAGGCAGCCAATTGATGTTTCTCCCTCACATCAATATTTCTCTCCCTCTTCTTCTCCTTCCTTTCCCTTCTCTCTTTAAAAAATTGCTAGAAGTTTCATGAAAAATATTAGTTTGGCAGTAAAACTCTTGATTGTGGCATTATGCACAGGGCTAACCATGTATTTAACAATAAAAGACAGTTTTAGAATTGAATAGGTGGTTGAAGCCACACACTCATATCACAGAGGCTAAGAAATGCTTCTCAACACAGGAGGTGAGACCCTTTTCATCGGGATGGCGCGACTGGTGGACCACCCGGACATGGATGTGGACGTCCTCGTCCAGGACTCCTTGGCTCCAGTTCACGCAAAGACTGCTCAGGGCCTAGAGGTGGTGCTGCCCCCGCTGCCAGCTGGCCTCCACAGAGTCTCCGTCTCCATCAATGGGATCAGCATTCACTCAGAAGGGTGAGGTAGACACTTGCCATTAATATTAAGTCTCTCTGGTTGTCTAGTGATTCAGTTGAGGAATTCTAGTTTTGAGTTAGGTCTTTTTCTTTTGAAGTTAGGGGACAAATACATAAGAATCGTAACATTTGAACACATCCCAGAAACCCTACAGGACAGTTCACTTTCAAGCCCATTTTGGGGAAAATTTTGACTTACTTGTCAGGGAACAGAACTTTCTGGCTCTAGGACATCATGGCTCTTGAGTGTGGGGTGGGCATCTACAAGCAAAGGTAGAAGAGTTTATGCTTTAATAAGAATTTATATTTAAATAAGAGTGTATCTTGGGTTTTGAATAAATGGCTTATAATTATGGCACAAGCCGTGTTCATTTCCTCTTTGCCCTGAAGTCCCTCTGCCCAGTGTTTCTCTGGAAAGTTAGCAAAAGGACATGGGACTGGTGCCACCACATGATACTGGCCCAGGAAAACGTCCCACCCAACATCATCTCCTCACCATTTCTTTTCTTCGCTGTTAGGCGATGTATTCACACTTGCCCTCCATCATTCCTCCCTTCTTCTCTCCCAAGTACATACATCTCTTTGTCCTATGCTTCCTTTCTGAGTCTTTCCCTAAGTCTCTCAGATGCACCATAGCAACTTCCCCATTTTATTCTGTAGGGTCGGTCTTCACATCCAGTATATCACAGAAGTTTTCAGCATCGAGCCTTGCTGTGGGTCCCTTCTGGGTGAGTGGCTCTGACGTGACTGGTGTGGTTTACCCAGCACTGGGTATTCAGATTGTGTTTCTGGATTGATTAACCAGTGAGATCGGATGTGGGCAACAGGGAGAGGAGTTTTCCTTGTGCTCCAGGAACTGGGTGGTACACTTTGGAGGCTGTGAAAACTTGGGGATTCCTTTCCTCAATACGCTCAGACAAACATTTTTTATGAAAAGAAGAAGTGCCTCATTTTTTCTTTTTACTCATAGAAAGATACTGAAACATTTAATGGGTAGCACATCTTGAATGCATATTAGAAAAGTAAGGGAAGATCTTCTGTGTTAGCCTTTTAGATTCTGCACATGTCAGGAGAGGGGAAATGAGGTTTGGTGTCTTCACTTTCCTCTAGGGATGCAGGTGAAGGACCCACAGGCAGTCAGAAACAAATGTCAGTATGGGAGACATGAGAACAAGGCAAATAGAGGAATTTAGAAAACTATTTTCAGAAAAAAAGTTGAAAGCTATATATTTGCACATGAATAATAATTGCGATAGTGTATGAAATAGCACATTATTTTTTATGAGGATAGTAAAATCCTTTTTAAGCTTCTTGGCTATACCACTGATTTAGTAATGATACGGGGTATGTTGCTCCAACCCCTGCCCTGAAGATGGGTTGATTGTCCCTCAGCTAGAGTGCAAGACAAAGTGTGAATATAGCAGTAAATTCACAAGCATGTTTCAGTGGCTCTTGACAAGTCATATATATATATAATCATATATATGACTACATAATATATGGGTATTGAAATAGTAATAGAATAATATAGAGGATAAGTAGAAGATGTCAACAGATTTGATTTTTCATTAGTGTATAAGTTGAATATATAAAAAATATACATATACTTCACATAACATAGTATAATATGAAATAATATGTGAGATAATATGGGAAATGATAAGACTAAGGAATTTGGCTTTTCATTAATATATAAATTGTATATATGTTTGTGTAAAATACACATATACTCTTTCTATATAATAATATATATAATAATATTGACTAACATTTCAGATAATATAGCAGATGACAAGAACACTTCAAGAAATTTAATTTTTTATTGGTGAATTATAGAAGTTGTGGCTTCTAGGATTTATCAACTTACTTGAAAATTTTGTCTTAAATATTATAAGCATACTTCCTATATAATAATTTATACTGTTTTATGGTATGTGAATTTCAGCCTATCTGACTCCTGCGAAAATGATCACAAATTTAACATGGATGAGGTGAGGCGATATAGTTGAAGTTTCACTCGCACAACCCACCTCCATTTAGTTGCTCTGGGGCTTACACGGGTGTGGTGAGTTCTTAGTTTTGAATGTCAGTTTTAATATTTTGTTTTTGGTGTTCCTGCTTTAGGTGGAACCATTCTCAGCATCTCAGGAACAGGGTTCAGCAGGGACCCAGCTTTAATTTGGGTGCTTGTGGGCAATCAGTCCTGTGACATTGTGAACTTAACAGAGACAAACATCTGGTGTGAGACCTCGCCCACCTTCCTGCTGCCTGTGGTCGACGTTCTCACTGTCCCAGCCCCCGTGGAGGTCTGGGCTGGCAGTATGCCCTTCACCCAGGGATCTGCACCAAGTCTGGTGGGAAAGGGCTTTACCTTCACATATGAGGTGGCAACAACACCAGTGGTCACTGCCGTTCGAGGAGAATTCACGAACAGCAGCCTGAGCCTCTATGTGGAAGGATATAACCTCTCCCACTCAGTGATTCTTCTGGGGGACTTGAACTGCAGTCTTGACACCCAGTCCTTCTGGAGCAACAGGAGCCTGTCTGGCTGCTCCTTTCCTCTGTACAGCGTGGAGGCAGGTGTCTATCCTCTTCAAGTACGTCAGCAGCAGATGGGCTTTGCTAACATGTCTGCAGTGCCCCAGCAATTTGTGGTCGCACCTCAGATACTGGCCATCTTCCCAGCCAACGGGTCAGCTTGTGGTGGGACAGTCCTCACAGTGCAGGGGTTGGCTCTTACCTCCAGGAGGAAGTCAGTTCACGTTGATCTTTCAGGCCCTTTTACTTGTGTGATTTTGAGCTTGGGGGACCAGGCAATCCTCTGCCAGATTAACCCACTGGGTAACTCCCTGCCTGGTGCTTCCTTCACCCTTAACGTCACAGTCCTGGTCAATGGGCTCCCCAGCGAGTGTCAGGGTAACTGCACCCTTTTCCTGAGGGAGGAGACAACTCCTGTAGTGGACACCTTGACTGTTAACACCAGTGGGTCTCTGACTTCAGTGTTGATTAGAGGTCAGAGGTTAGGCACCACAGCCGATGAACCCATGGTGTATTTGGACAATCATCTCCCTTGCGTTGTAACTTTCTTTAATGCAAGCCATGTGGCATGTTGGATAAGTGACTTGACCCCAGGGCTCCACTACCTATCCGTTTTTTATTCAAGGAGTGGGTATGCTTGTTCTGGTAATTCTTCCAGACACTTCTCCGTTTTGCCTCAGGTGTTTCATTATTTCCCCAAGAACTTCAGCATATATGGTGGAAGCCTCTTGACCATAGAGGGCACAGCCCTGGGAGGGCAGAGCCGCTCGTGTGTCTACATTGGCCAGCAGGCCTGCCTGACGGTGAACATCAGCGCTGAACTCATCCAGTGCATTGTTCCTGCAGGGAACGGATCCGCTGTCCTGGACATAGAGGTAGATGGGCGTTCCTACCAGATAGGAGTCATTGGTTACAGCAACACCTTCACCCCGGAATTGCTCTCTGTTTCTCACACTGGTGATGTCTTAACCTTTGTGGTGGCCCAGATCTCAGGAGTTGAGAACGTTGACATTTTTATCCGGACGTCACCCTGTGCAGGTGTCTCTGGCAACAGCACAGTTCTCCAGTGCGTGGTCCCACCCCTTCCTGCCGGGAAGTACCAAGTCAGAGGTTATGACCACGCAAGAGGGTGGGCCTCATCTGTCCTGGTGTTCACATCGAGAGTTACTGTTACGGCAGTGACTGAGAACTTCGGTAAGCCAAGCAAATAAGACAGAGCACTTCCTCTATGTAAGTGGATTAGCAGCTTCTCTCAGTACTCTAAGGGGAAGGAAATTAACATGGATCTGAACAACAGAAGGCGGGAGAAGCCTGAATGGCCTCTCACAGACCTAAAGCTGTCTTTGTCATGCTCCATGTGTGAGGCTTTATTTTTCATCAAAGAAAGTGCTCATATTCTCCAAGAACAAGACTGTATTTTCATTGGATGCTTTTACACAATTAACTTGTGTTTTAAATAAATAATATCATTTTAAGAACTTATCATTTGATCATTTAAGTAGAACATAAATGCCTTCACTTATTTTATACTTATGTGTCAACTTGAATTATCTTAAACTTATTAAATGTGATTTTTTAAAATCATTATGTGATACTTTACAGATGAATTCATACCCCACCAATAATAGGCCATTTGGCTACTATGATTGTATTGGTTGAATGTTTTTCTCCTTTTAGAGAAACTGAAGTTTGCCTTGCATTTTCTTCCAATGATGGTTTCAGTTTCTCTTCACTTAAAGTTTTAATGCACTTGAGATAGCTCAAATTCGATGGTGATGCAGAAAGCAGAGAGGAATTGTGGGAGCTGAAACTCAGACTGATGAAGTACTAGTCAAGACTTTTCTTAGAACAAATATGTTTGGCTTCATCCAGGTGGCATGCTACAGGGACTGGGACTTTGATCCCTAGTGTATCAGCACCTCAGCTGCGTAACTTTCTAAGCCTCAGCTTCCTAATTTGATAAAGGAGTTTGGGCTGGATGCTCCCTGGTTTCCCTTTCTAAACTCTAAGATTCCATAATTTGTATGGTGAGAAAGCAGAGGTATGAAATGCACCCTAAGAAAAGTGTTATTCTGGAGTTTGTTGGGTGGCTGTCAAGTACCTCTTGGACATGCTGTGAGGGCAGCAGGAACTGGAACTCCCCTCTCAGCGTGGACGAGAGGGTGCACATGTCTGAGGGTCCTGGTGATGTTTACCTGAACTGGTTCTCGGACAGATGCAAAACATTGGGGACAGGCACTCTGGTACAGTGCTTGCAGGACTGTAAACTGGTATAACGTTATTTTGGAGAGAAAAATGGGAACATCCATCAAAACTAAAAATTTATTTTTCCTTTGACCTAGAAATTCAATTTCTAAGAACTTTTAACAGTTTAAAAAAAGTGTACTGTTCATTACAGCACTATGAATAGCAAGAGAGGATAAATAGTGGAAGTATCAATCAATAGGAAAATTACCCAGTAAATTATGACATGATCATATAATAAAATTCTAGGTAGCTATTGAAGTGATGAGTTAGGTCTATACATACAAACTTGGAAAAATGTCTATGGTATAGCTTTAAAATGCAAGTTGTATAAGAATGTTTATAGAAATATCTCTGTATAAAAAATACATATGCTTAGAATATTCTTGGAGGATTTGTAAGAAACTCTATACATGGCTACCTCTGGGGAGGGAGATAGGTGGTTAGAGAAAATTTTATTTTCCTTTTACACTTTGTTTTCATATAAAAATGTAAGAACTATAAATAAGCATTACTTTCTATGTAAAAGTGATACATTTTTATAGGTTGTTCAGTGTGGTTGGGATCAGACAAACAAGGAGGCCAGAGCTTCGTGAAGATAAACGGGGGCATCCCAGGGACCTGAAGCCAGCTGTGCGCTCTCTGCAGGGCGTGAAAAGAATGATGAGCAGCAAGGAAGCATGAATCTGACTTTTGAGTCAAGTAAAGAAGGAGAGATTTGCCTCTATGATCATGAATTTGTCATTTTGTTTTAAAGGCTGCGTGGGTGGAAGGCTTCTGCATGTGTTTGGAGCTGGGTTTTCTCCAGGGAACATCTCAGCTGCTGTGTGTGGGGCCCCCTGCCAAGTCCTGGCTAATGCTACCGTGTCCGCCTTCAGCTGCTTGGTTCATCCCCTGAGTGGTCAGTAAAAATGCCGTATTTTTTTTTTAAGATTTTTATTTATTTATTTTTAGACAGAGGGTATGAGAGAGAAAGAGAGGGAGAGAAACATCAGTGTGTGGTTGCCTCTCGTGCTCCCCCTACCAGGACCCTGGCCTGCAGCCCAGGCATGTGCCCTAGACTAGGAATCAAACCAATAACCCTTTGGTTCACAGGCCAGCACTCAGTCCACTGAGCCACACCAGCCAGGGCAAAATGCTGTATGTTTTAAAAGAGTATGTATGAAATTGATATTCTTTGGCTTCATTTTTGTGATTAACACTGTGCTGACCCCTAATTTTTTTAATGTGTTTCTGGGAAAAGAAATTTCTCTACTCTCCATCTAAAATGGTAGGTATTTAGAATCAATGACCTTATATTAAAATGGTACATACTAACTTTTGTCATATTAATGGCAACAAAAATTTATCACCTGTATTCTTGATTGTAGTCATATGATGATGGGGAATGTAATTTTTGGTTCTAAATACTGGTTTCAATAACAGCTATGTCGGAGAAATCACGGTCTTTGGGGTGGGGCTGCTGAGAACACCTGCTGACCTGAGGCACTGGCGAAGGGATCAGACCACCAGACTGACTATCTCTTTTGCACATTTGCCTAATTGCTCACAATTCTTGAATTCTTATAGGCAAATAGCCAACATGAACATCATCCTCTTACTCTGCAATGTTCAGGTAATTACTTGAGCCCTTAGTCGGTAAAACACCATGATCTCTCACTGCTTTAAGCTTCATGGAAGGAAGGTGCAAAGCTTTGATAGTCCCACGTCCGGGCTTTACAATACAGGATAAGCTTCAGGGGAAAAAAAATCAAAGGGATATGTTTGCTATCATCACGGCAGGAACAGCTTAGCCAGGTGATTAACTTGTTTGCATAATGACAGATATTGTACCTGTGCACTTAAAAACCCTTTGCACACGTGCTCCCTGTATAGTGCTATAAGTTATATTCTGATGTGTCTGCAACTTGAATGTGCATGAAGGATTTACAAAGCATCTCTTCATCTGAGCTTGGACAAAAATTCTGCGATGGATAATATTCCTGTGATGGAAGTTTGCATTGGATTGTCTTAGACAAGAAGGAGGAAGAGGAGGGGGAGGGAGACAAAAGGAAGAGAAAAATTCTTGGGTAAAATGCTAGAAACTGAGTTTTCTATTATGTATATAGGCAGAACATTGTGGAAGAAATTGATTCCACTTAAAATTCTACAATACGAAAATCAACACATTAATTTAAAAATCCCATAATAAGAAACTTAAGATACAGTAAAACATTTAAGTTTAAGATAGTACCTGTTTCATTTTCATTCTGCCTCTCATGCATAGAACAGTGCTGGCACAGTGTAGTTGCAAAATCGGTGCTCGGTTAAGGAATAAATGAAGAAATTAGAAAATTGTAGAAACAGAAAACCAAGACTCTGCATTTCTAGACTTTAATATTTAACTAATACTGCTACAGTTTTTTTTAAAGACTTTCATATATATTTACTGCTTAAATTAACTGTTTAAAGCCCATTGGTATTATTTCAAGGCACTTGATTTTAACTAGAAGTACAAGATAAAAATCACTGAGGATACAGGGTCAGATAAATTGTGATATGGGAATTTGATAACTTTAGGAGAGGAATAGTAGAAATAATTTTATTTTAAAAGATTTGATTATGTTTTAGAAAAGGACTAAAAATTCTGTGATTTTTAAGAGGAAAATGCGTTGGAAGCTGTAACTTTCATTATGGCCACTAGGTGTCACCAAACACTCATTGATTGTGCAAAAGCTGATCATTAAGGGAAATGGACAAGTTGACTTATTTTCCTCTTTAATTAAAAAAAAAAAGTCTGTTTCAAAAGACTCTTAATTACAGTGTCCAAAGATGGAGAGGAACTGGTAAAAACCAACCCCTAAGGTTTCTTACTTATGATCCAGGATGGCATTTGGGGCTTCTATTGACCCCCTGCAGCTGAATAAAACATTTTGAGTATATGATTGCACATTGCGTTTCTATGAAATAGGTCTATAATGGACATCAAGTCGTCAAATGGAGTGTGTCTCATAAATTATTAGAACCTATTAATTATTTCTTAACTTTCAGGAGGAATTTAATGTAATTAATCAATGTATATTTGTTACATAAATTTGTCATATTTTAAGAGATTTTTTTAGAGGACTATTTCACAAGCAGCAATCCTCATAAGTGTCTCCCAGTTGCCATTCACAGAGAAATCCATTCATTTGCCTACCGTTCCCCCTACTCTACTTTTTCGAACTTAACCAACTGGCAGCCCTTCAGCAAGCTGAATAATCTCAGTCTGTCTAATGCAATCATTCTCATTGATGCTATGCTTGAGAAATGTTATCGCTCAGAATTACTGAGAAGGTAATGTTACTGTTATTATTTTCACTAGAGCAATGGCAGGGGCAATACCTAGGAGTTTATTAGAAACACAGATTCATGGGACTTACTGGGTCTGAAGCATTCCAACGTATAAATGTTTTGGTATTTCACTTCTGAGCCCTCTCTGAATTCTGGTGTTCTTTCCTAAAGTGAAGCCGAAAGCTACGTAGCCCCTCTGTGTAAGCAAGTTCTGACCGTAGTGGGTAGCATCATAAGATGCCTACATGTAATCTGGTCCCATATTTGTTCTTAAAATTACAGCTGTTTTGCTGATTTATAATCTCTCTGTTACCTACCATTATTCCAAGGTATTTTTTTTTCTTTCTAACATAACTGCGCACAGCTGGAAATTCCTCATCTCATATTTGTATAATTTCTTTTTTTCTTCTGTGGTTTACTGCTTTACTATTTCCATTTAGTCTTTTGTTTATTTCTCCTAACTTCTCTAATTTGCTAAGGTCACTTTGAATTCTGACCCTTGCTTTGAGTTTTTTTCCTTAGTTTGACTTTGCATAATGAGGAAAGTGATGTTTCACATTCAGGGATACAGATGATGGCTTAGAACCCAGACTTTCCTAATTATTGTTTGCTTATTCTGATACCACAGTACAAATCTGTTTTCTTTTCATCAGCGGGGCAGGGGGCATTAAAGGTGCAGCTCTAAAAAGGCTTTTTTTTCCTGCTTTTGGTATCATCTATCTTTATCTTTTTCCCCAAACTGTGCTTCTAACAAAAGAAGAATTTTATTTTGCTTTTTCTTCACATGATTGGTTGTTAAAACATCTTCTCAGGTGAAACTAATACCTTGTATTTATAAAATCAGCAAGCTCTTTTGATCTTTGGATTTCTTGCATTTATACCTTGAATTATACTACATGACTTTTTAATGAAACTTTAACTTTTCCACGAGGCATGACAAGCTAAAGTGATTAAGCTCACACAGCTATTTAGTGGCAGAACCTTGAGTAAAGTTCACAGATTCTGATCCCAGCCCTGCGTACTTTTCATAATCCACCTTGTCAATTTGCATCCACCTAATCACCCATAATGAGTTCATTATTTTATTGGTGTTGAGCCTGTTTTTGTTTGCCTTGGGGCTTACTAACTGAAAAGTTCTCATGTTTCGTCTACCATAGGAGTGAGTCTTACTTGTCAGCCATTTTAATTGCTATGATTCATTCAGAACACAGTGGCAGAGAACCTGTCACACAGCAGGTGCTTCGGAATGTACCAGCAACGATAATAACACTTGCACGTGATTGAATAAGTGCAAACCTCTCCAGTGCACTTACCTTGTTTACCCTGTGGCTTGCGGCTGTGTGGTGCAGGCAGGGCTTAGGTTCAAGCCCACAGTTCTTGATAACATCTGTCAGGTACCTCGTGGACAGGCTAGCCGCAGAGGTAGAAGGTTAGAGAAAATTTTTATTTCTTCTTTATTTCATCAAGGTTTTTCAGTCAGGGCTGCTCCAAAACCAACTCATGTAGAGATTTCTTCATCTCCCTGTTAAAGGGTATTGCCAGTCTGCCTTGTTGATGCTCTTAACATTGTGTCTCCTGACCTGGAAAGAAATGGCATAATGTCAGGGGGCTTCAACTAATTGCTTTTCTTCTTTACAAAATATTAGTCATACAAAATATAGTCATAATTCTATTAAAATCAAGGACTTCTTTTAATTAAGGGATCCCATAAAGAGAACAAAAAGTTTAGCCACAAGCCTGGAGAATATATCAGTAACTGTATAACCTCCAGAGGATTAGTACCCAGAATGTATAAAGAACACAAATCAAAAAAAGAGATAAACATTCCAATAGAAAAAAAGGACAAATGACAGAAATAGGAATTTCATGGAAGAGGGGACATGAGTTATTACTAAACACATAAAAAGTTGTTTGATCTAAAAAGTAATGATGAAAATGAAGTAATGAGGTGCCATTGTATACTCACTGGGCTGGCCAAAACTAAGAATCTGATAATCCCAAGTGCTGACAAGTATGTGGAGTAATGGGAACTCAAAAATGTAGCTGGTAGAAATGTAACATGACACACTGCTTTGAAAACAATAGGGTTCTAGCTTGTAAAGTTGAACTTGTACCTACCCTATAAACATGTAATTTTAAGGCATATACCCTAGAGAAAATTTTATACATGTTTGTAGTGGCAAAGACTAGGAAATATCCAAAAGTCTACTGGTAAGAGAAAAGAAAAATATATTGTTGTATGTTCACACAGTATGTTATTAAACAGCAGTGAAAATGTATGAACAACAGTTACATGTGATAAAATGGATAAAGCTTGGAAATACAATATTAAGTGAAAAAATCAGGTCAAAGAATATTATGTCATATATTCTGTTTTATAGAATTAAAAAACAAGTAAAACTTAATGTTTGCTTAGGAATAAACTCTTATTAAGGAATAAAAAGCCCTGTGAGAAAACTGTGTTAAGAATGCAGGTGGTGGTTTCTGAGAACAGGGAGGACAGGGTGGACTAGGCGAGGGGCACACAGATTTGAGGGCATCATGACTGTTTTTAGACTTTATGTTGGCTGGTATGTTCACCTGGATTTTTCTCATTATGATGGTTTATATTTTACAACAATGTTACTTATATTCTTCTATGTGTGTTGTGTACACATAGTACATTTTTTAGAAAAGTAAGCTGATTATTTTCTGGTTAGTGAAAGCAAAACATAGGAACTTCATTTATGTAACAATGTGAGGCCTTCAGTTCTTTCCGTGGTTATTGCCCAAGCTAATGGTGACCCTTTCCTGCAGTGTCCCTGGCCTCCCTATGTGACCTGAAGCACGAAGAGGAGAGCTGTGACACCTCCGGCCGCACCTATGTGCAGTGTGATTTGACTGTCACTGTGGGGACAGAGATACTGCCCAGATCATGGCCTTACCTCTACATTTGTGAAGAAAGTTCCCAGTGCCTCTTTGTACCAGGTCGCTGGACAGAGTCAGTCTTTCCATCGCTCTCAGGCCTCTTCATCAGGTAACCCTGTGCTTTCCCTCCCTGACCTTCCCCATGAGTCATGGCCAATGGACTGATGGAGGCTCAGGAACTGTAGGCTGGGTGGACGTGGCCCCCGGGTCCCACTCCTCCTGTTGCAGGAACTGTTCCACGGTGGACTCCAGCCAGCTTGCATATCAAAGCATCTCCTGTCTTTTCAAGTGTTCAGGAGAACATCTGAAAAATCTGCCCAGTAAACAGCCTGCTTTGTTCTTGCTTAGATTTTAATATTTATCTTCCGATCCAAAGCAACATCTGGTGAATGCCAATGGGGAAAAAGATTAGACATTATGAAAAACAGAAGGCTCCTTTCCCCTTTCCTTTTTCTTTTCTTTCCAAGCGGATTCACAAGTATGCAAAAAAGTCATAGTGAAATCCAGCAGATTGTACACTATTTATTCAGAAGAAGGAGGGTTGCACAGGCTCAGAATTACTGCAGATCTAGGATTTTGAAGATATAGGTTATCAGGATTTTTTGAACTTAAAAAACAAACAAATAAGTACTATAACTTTCCAGGTAAACCCCCTTTCCTAAAGAAATTTAATAAAAAATTGCATTTTTTATTAAAATTAAATTTGTCATTAAATCCAATCTGACTACGTTGGGGAATCTGGATGGCCTTCATTTCCACAAGCAGTTCTTTCCCATGCAGTGGGGTTTTTCATTGCTGAGCATGACCCTGCTTCCTTCTTTACTTCTTATCTAGATGGAGCGGTTGCATCAGATTATTTAATGAAGACCTATTTTCCCATTTAAAAAATAAAATTAAACAAGATCAGTTACACAGAATGGAAGGGATAATCGGTTCTTTTCATGGCAGTCTGACTTGGCAATGTCCTGAGATGGTTGGTATTTCAGTATGAATTTACCACCAGAGGATTGTGCTTAGTCAAGGAGTTGGCTGGTTGCTTTTTTTGAAGGGCTTGAAGAGCTCTCTTTAGGTCACAGAGGAAATGGGGTCCTGGAGGTTTATCCTCAGGTGAGACCACAGTTCAGGAGTCAGTGCTGCTGGACATCAAGATGTGCACGTCACCATTCCTGCCTCCACAGAGTTTGTGGGCTTTATCTAGATGCCCAGAGCTATTCCCTCTGAGTTATTCTATGTCCTTACTCTTCACTCTAGGATGTGGCTGGGGCAACTGAGCCTTGGCCCCCATTAAAACTAATGACTTTTCTATGACTATTGTTTGAATATTACTACTACTCAATGTTCCGGATATTGCAGCCAGCAAATGTGGGTGTCCCTTCTTGAGTAAGAATGAAAGTAAGTGCCCTATGACTTAAACAAAGTGCATACTCAGTATTGAGGGTGAGGGGAGCCAGCACTGCTCTTTGCTGCCAGTGAGAAGGAAGGGTAGAACACTCTGCAGAGGTTACTGGGACAGGATGCATTAATAACCTTGAAATTCTTTATATTTGGAGACCCAGCAATTTCACTTTTAGGATTATTTTATGAGAGCAGTTAGAAATATGTAATATTTATGAAAAACCATGTTCTTTGAAGTTTTAAGTATCATAACAGAAAACTTGAAATGAGTGTTCAATAATGAAGATGCATCTAAATGATAATATATAAGAAACTTTTAAAAATCATGTTGTAGACTATTTAACCAGAGAGTGGCATGCTTATAATATATTGGAAAGTGAAAGGTACAAATCACAAAATAGTGTATTATTTATTCTTAGTGGTGTATATAATGCACATGCTTTCACACACATACGCTAGGTGGTTAGAAAAAAGACTAGAAGGATGTATTCTACAACAATGACAGTACTCATCCCCTGGGGGCTGTAGACTGGTCATATTTATTTCAGTTGTTTATTTTTATGTATTTTTTCAGTGAACATGTACTAACTTAATAACCAGAAAAAATACTGTAAAATAAATTATATGAAGGGCATTATCATGTTCCACATGGGATACCTTTGTTTTCTTTAAAATTATGTCTGTGAACCCAGATGATTACTCTTCAGGGTCTTAGCAGGGGACCCATTTCTATCAAATACTTTATTCCCCTGCCAGTCACTATTGCTATGGATTTGATGTCAATTGGCAAAGGAGATATGCATGTCTATGGTGAAAATGTGCCCAATTCACCCATCTCCCCATCCATCTGTCCATCCACCCAGTTATCAAGTTCCTACTATGTTTTAAGTATTGTGTCAGGAGCTGGTGACTCCATGGTAATAAGGCAACAAAGCCTCTACCCTTAGGGGTAGAGGAGGAAGCCAGGCAATAAACAAATGAATCCATGTTGTGATAAAAACTACAAAGTGATAGAAAACGATAGGGGCTACTTTATAAAATGTGCTCAGAGGAAGCTTCTCTGAAGAAGTGTCTTTAATGTTGAGCTAAGGGGAGGAAGGTGTCATTATGGAGAGTCAGGCAGGAGGGTAGCAAATGCAAAGGACCCATCAAGTTTTATAAACTGTCAGAGGCCAGAGGGCACAGTAGAGTGAGGAGGAAAGAAAATGGCTTTACATGAGCTCAGGGGGTCATGTAGGGAATTTAGTTTTTCTTCTAAGAATAGATTAAGTAACTTTCCAAAGTCGCAGAGAGAATCCTTGGCCATGTCAGTACCGGAACCCAAGGCTCCTGACTCTCAGTGTACTTAGCACCGAGCAATGCTGCCAGCATTAGAGAAGACAGCCTTGGAGATCATGGTTCAATGAGATTTCGGAACCACAGGAAGCAGTTTCAGCCTAAGTGAGGAAGATAGAATGAAGCAAGTGGTTTTTACTGCCTGTCCTAGAACGTGTATATGAGAAGATAACTGGCTTACTTTTGGATCTGATCAGACCAACTGAAATAACAACAGAAGAGTGGTCAGGAAACAGGTTCTAGAACTCTGTTTGCTATCACTTGGACCAAAAATGTTTACCACGTTCCCTCACAATAAACATTCATGTGCATGCATGTGTATATGTAGTCTATATCATCTATGTCCACCTATTTCTCTATATCTGTATGTTTATATTTGTACATAAATCTTGTCAACTGCAGTACTAAATTCATAGATTATTGTGGAAGAAAACACTGAATAGTAGCTATTAAGAAACTTAGAAATTTTGTAGATGATAGGCTATTTTTGATATCCTGGAGTTTCTGCTAATTTTGATGATGGCTTTTTAATGAAAGAAATCTCTAGTGAGATAATCAGGAATAAACACAAAAAAATATGAGCTAAAGCTTGTAAAAAAGTCTAAGCTAACAGATGAAGGTTTTAACTCCTCTGGAGCAAACAGAACATTATTTAGGGAAGACAGTGCATTGCTACAGGCAAATGGAAGGAGGAAGTGCCGCACCCCTTTTTACTGGAACCATTGTGGACAAAGAGCCTAGAATGAGCAGAGGAAAGCTCACTGGAGGAAGGGTGGAAGCCCAAGATCAAGAAACGTTGTAAAGGAAGTTGGTCACTCCTTTCTTTGAGTTCATGTTGGTGCCCCACGTCATTCCTATACTAAGTATAAAAACCTTGCTCATATGATTGGTAATCGGTATGAGAGAAGGGCACACAACAGAGAGAGCTGATGGGCATATATTCTTGTATTTGTCTAAAGAGGGAAAAAGAGGAATTCTGGAAATGTAGACAACTAAGCCGGTATTATTCCTGACAAATTTCTAGAATGCTTCATATATCAGATGGTTTGTGAGCCTTCATGAATGGAAGTAGCTACCTGGGAATCAATTCACAAGGAATATGATGGGCGGTAAACCAGCTTCATTGCCTCTCAAACTCTTTCAGATAGCTTCCCTACGCAGTTGCAAAAAAGAAGTTCTAGCCCTAAAGTGCAAGGTGGCCTGATACAGCATCAGTTGGTTCGAAGTTAGGTGTTTCCTTTGAACAGTCTGTGTGAATTTTTATTCTATTCTACCCCATTTCCATATTCATCTAAATATTACATTACATTTTAATTTAAAAGTAAAATTACTTTTTTTTTCTTCTGAATCTTTGAGTGCAACCGACACTACAGGAGCCGGTGCTGTAGTTTTACCCTGTGGCTTTGTCTGCCCCCTGGATGATGGCTCAGCTAAATGGATTTAGCTACATTATGGGCTCCAGATTCAAAGTGTATTTGAGCAATGGGTCCACATAAGTGAGGTGACATGCAACGATAATGAATGTAAATTCACTCATTTACATTTTAACAATAATTCTACCAACACCAGTACCGCCAAACTCTACAGTAAGAGCTGCCTCCTCTGACATTTAATGTACGCCAGATTCCATGTAAACCATTCTGTAGGCATCATTTTGCTCCACTCCCTCAACACTTTTGTAAAATAGGCACTTGATAATTAGTACTCTATTTTATAAACATGGAAATCAAAGCTTAGAGGGTCGTGTCTTCATGTGTCATATGGATGGTAAATATTTGCTTGGAAACTCATATCTAGCTGGTCTGCCGCCAAGCTTAACCTCTGTATGCTAATGTTTCTCAGAAAATCAGGTAAACAAATACAGTGTGGTGAAATCCTCAAGCAACTGTGGCTCTGAGACCACCATGTTCATTTGGGTGCAGGGGCTACCAAACCAACACAGAGTTAGGTGCTGTGAGATGGAGGTCTCAGATGAAGGGAGACCCCAGCCCCAACAGTCGACCCAAACCATGTGTGTTAGTCCTGGCCCCGTGGTATTAACATACAGACAACCTACAGCAGGTCTAGAGGAGAATGGGCATGAAAGTCATGTCTTGGGTGGATATGGATCTAGGAATATTTTGGCAGGAAGAAAAGAAGATTACGTGGACATGGGAGTTATACTGCTCATTATTTTTAGCATATTGCAGGAGCAACCACTTTCACACTGATTTGAAAAACGATGCTCTAGTTCAACATGATTTAGTTTCTCAAGCAGTAACCTTTCAGCCTCTCTACCACTCTTCCTGGCCTTCCTATGGGCTCCGTTACCTGGCTGATGTTCAGTCTGCGTCTCAAAACCTGAGAATACTGCTGTAGGAGACAGGACACCTGGGTTCTAATCTCAGACCTGCTGTAATTTTGTTTGACTTTATGCAAATCCCCTGATCATCTTGGGTTATATTTTTTACACCTTTACCTGCTTTACAGGCTGAAATGAGATCATACTATGAAATTGTTGAACAGTTTAAAATATCTGCATTAATAATCTTTGAGTTAGTTGCAACAATGCCTAAAGCCAGGATTATTGTTGAATAAATATCACACCTGTTGGGGACATTACCCTGTGATATCCATGCTCTCATCTCCCCTGGACTGCATGGTTTTAGACTTCCCGTAATGCTGTTTTTCATTTTAAATGCAGTCTGGCTTCTCTCCTTAAAGCAAGAGGACTTTTAAAGCGAGTGGCTGGTAGTATAACTGGCACATATATCGAATCTCCTTAGTCTGGGCTGTTAAGTAAGTTTAATTAATTTACTAAGTTAATGTTCCACTGCTAGCAACAGAGCCTCATTGCCATCAGCTGGGGAGAGGGAATTGAAAGCTTAAATGAGCTCATTTTTTCACAGTTGGAATTAGGGACCAGTTAGCCAGTTGTGTGGGTTTTCCAATTTCTCCATCTGCCCTGGGGGGATTCAGGCAATTCTCTCCCCCAACACTAAGTGTGAGTAAGAACAGGAAAAGGAAAGGGGAAAAGAAAAAGAAAAGAAACCCCATCCTAACATTTGCTTCCATTTGGAACTGGAAGTATTGTTTGCTCATTGTTTGTTAAGTTGGGCTTGGAGAAGCTTTTGCTAATGTTCCTAATAGGTTTGGAAAAGAGAAAGGCCTCAGTGAAAGATATTTACCATGTGCATTTTCATTGCAGGGTGTGCAGATAAAGGGAAAACAAATAAACAATAAAAGAATGGAAACAAAATTACAGAAATTTGCAAAATTTGACAAATGGTGGCCTGTAGTTGCCACAAGCTAATGGCTTGCAATGATTAATAAGAGTAAAAATAATTGCATTTCATTAAGATTGATGACACCCCATTTAACCTCCCCTCTTGTTTCAGCCCTAAAGTGGAAAGAGATGAAGTTCTCATCTATAATAGCTCCTGTAACATTACCATGGAAACTGAGGCAAAGATGGAGTGTGAGACGCCTAATCAGCCAATTACCGCCAAGATTACTGAGATACGGAAAAGCCGGGGCCAGAACACTCAGGTATAATCAAATCTTTTTTACAGACTGATTCAAACAGCTCAAATTAAATTTGTAATATTGTGTACATTAAAAAAACAATTTAGTCCAAATGGCAGCGATATATAATATTAAATGCTCTCAAACTTTGAGGAGCTGGTCTAATGCACAACATCTGAATTCACAGTTAACTATAGTTAATCATATATTTTCTCAAAAATAAATGAGTGCTGCCTGGGCTCTTTTAAAACAAATCCTGAACAGATAATCTCAGCATTTTGTCCTGCTTTCTGCGTACATGTTTAAAAGGGGCTTTCTGTGGTTTATTTCTTCATGAAATAAATGGCCTACAATTTAACCAAGCGCTCCTGGAAGGTTTCCAAATCGCTCAGCCATCCTCAGTTGGTCAGATGGCGATGTCTGCTGGTCCATCCGGTTCATCTCTCTTCCATGGAGAGTGGAGTGGAAACTTCAGTTTCTGAGGACATTACATGAAAATAAAAACTGAAAAATCTGCTGGGTCATTTGGTCTGTCTTCTCTACCTCAGTTCATTCATTTTGAAATCATCTAAACCACCCCCTCCAAGTGGCTCTCTAAGACATGTTCTCAAAAGCCCCCAGCGAGAGCTTCCATAGCCTCCCCAGGGACTCTCATGAACTGGAATCAGAGGCTAAGGGCTCTTTGAAAATACCTCAGATCATCTTTCACAGCTCTCCTGGCATCTCTCGGCACACACATAGAAAATAATATTTCTTGAGCCCCTACTCCCTTAGGTGCCTTTCTCTTTATGAAAGCAATTCTCATATTTTTCTCTTTTTGTCTCTTTTATTTGGAACAAACATTTATTGAGTGCCTATTATGTGCTACACATTATACCAAATTCTCTTGTGAAAGCTCCTTCTTAGACCTTCCCAATTCCACACTATACTTCTTGAGTTCATAAGGCGTAATTTTCTATAGCTTTTGGACAGATGCTGAAAATGTATGCAATTACAGGTAAGATGATTTTTCTGTCTTTCCTGAACTATTTCCTGTCTACCTTCCCATCCCTTTGGAGTCTCTCTGTCCATTTTATCGCCTCCCCAGGCTTCTCATGCCCCTTTATCTTCCTGTCAGGTGGTTGCACAGTGCTGTCAGTGCTTCCTTATGTCCACCCCTCCCCTGAATGCATCTCTTCCTTTCAATGCATTGCCAATTTTAATTCTTCATCTCTGGCATGATAGTCCCCTAACTGCAGCTTCCACTTCACCCCTGTGCCCCTTTCTTGGCAGTTGGCTGTCAGGGAAGTCTCCAAGGTTAATCGTAGTGAGGGGGGCCGCTGAGCCAGTGTTGTATTGTGGAAAGAGAGCTGTGGGCTAAAGATGAGCTGTGGGACAATGAGTAGTCTTTAAGCCATGTGGGGTCTCAGTTTCCACATGGCTCAAACCCCGAAGTTGTTGAGATGCTTGTGTGAGCAAATGCCGGTGAAAGGGAGGAGGAGAAGTGTTGCACAGTGGTTGATTGTGGGCTTTGGAATGAGACTGCTGGGGTTTGAATATATCACTCTCGATCTGAGGGACTTCAGGTAAGTTACTTTACCTCTCTGTGCTTTAGTTTTCTCATCTGTAAAGTGGGGTAAGAATAGTACCCACCTTAATAGGGTTAGTGTGAGGATTCTAACACGTGAGCCACTGAGAATTGCACATAACACAGTTTAAATGTCTAATGTTAGCCATTATTGGCAGTGCTGGTTTGCTAGTAAAAGTTCTAGTAAGTGATAAGAATTATTTCTCTGTAATACTTGCTGTTTTGACCACATCACTTCACTTCTTAGATCTTATCTAATTTTTCATGTTCTCCAAGACTAATTTTGAATTTTTGAGGCTTAAATGCCTCATTCATCCTTAAATATTTGTGCAGTATGTATTTATTGAGTTCCAACCATGTCTGAAGTCCTCTGCCATGCTTGCTCTGAAGGAGATAAAAAATACCATGGAAGGAGACCCCACTTTTAGGGGATAGGAAGGAAGAAAGGCCATGTGTGCAAGTAGGTAAGCTTCAAAGAGGGACACATAGAAAAAGTTCATCACAGGTGGATGAGACGTTGATAAGTCCCCTCACTGGAGAGGTCACAGCTGGTCATTTGACATCATAACCCATGTGGCCCTAAGCATTGTGGGGGAAGTAAACCATTTTATCTGTAGGAACCAGAGGGCCATGTCTGTCAAAACCTACTAGGCTAGTGTCAGTGTCTAGGAGACTCCATTTGGGGGATGTCTTGTTACCCCATAGATCTGAGGATGTCTGGTTTTCCTGCTTGGGCCTGCAGGCATGACTGTCTAATGTGGGCCTGGGCCTGGGGAAAACTGGGTCTGACAGGTGCTTAATCCAAACTAGAACTCAGGTCTCCAGCTCCAAGTATTATGTGAGAACCTTGGAACAGTAGTTTCATGGAATAGTAGCAATTATTCTGTGATAAAAAGGGTTCCAGAGTCAAATACATCTGGTGAAAGCTGGGTTAAAGAAAGTTATAAATTTTTTTTACCAAAGGACTTTTGAGGACATTCAATATATGCTACATAATATGAATTTCTAAGGGAGGGTTGTGATGTGGAGCATTACCCAAATGTGTTTGTCGGTGGAACCCTTGATTCCCAGAATCTCTCCTGGGGCTGGTGTCTATTCTTCTGCCCTCACTTTGGGAAATGTTGCTCATACCATGCTCTTCCCCTGTCTTAGAGCAGGGAGTCAGAGATAGGAAAGGTTACATTCAAATTGGACAGTGGACCAAAGTCAGCTGAAGTAGGAGGTTGTATCATGCTATGAAGAATGAGCAGGGTTCAGGCATTCAGGAGGTGCAGAAGAAAGGGACTCCTGGTGGAGGAGTCAGTTCATACAAGACACTGACACAAAAGCCCATAGGAATAGTGCAAAGAACATGGGGACAAGTGAGTTGTAGATTTGGGAAGATAGGCTGGATTTGATTGTGATGGCAGGTTAGGTGTTTGGTCCTTTAATTCATCAAGTAACAAGTCATCCTTGAGGAGTCACTGCATGATCACGGGTGTGTGTGAGTCACATGGATCTGGTGCCTGGGTTGGGGTGCTTTGGGAAACCCAAGGAAGGAAACCCCTGCTCCCACCCTTACCTCCCTTCAGTTGATTCTGAGGAAGCCCAACAACCATTTCAAGATATGTCAGATAATTCCACTCTTCTCAAAAAGTTTCCAGGGGCTTCCAAATCCTCTTTGTAGGGGCTTTCCAACTCCTTTCCTTCAGCTTCTCTCCAGCTTTACTTCTCACTCTACCTCCTTCACCTACTATGTTCCAGGCCCACTGCCTCCTTGCTGGCCCTGGAACATGCCAGGCTTGCTCCCTCAACCAAACCTTTGCATTTGTTCTTTCTTCTGCTTAGAATACTCTTTCTCCTCCTTTTCCATGTGATTCCCACTTTAAGTTTTTGCTGAAATGTTACTTTCTCAATAAAGTCTACTCTTACCACCTTATTTAAAATGGCAACCAAGCCCTTTTCACTCCACAGATGCAAATTTTTAATTCTCTTTTTCCATAGTCCTTAGCACCTGATAATGTACTAGACAAGGTCCTAATTTATTATGGTTATTATTTAGTATCTGACTTTGCTTGCTATTATATGATCTCCAAAAAGGCAGAAATGTTTGCCTGCTTTGTTCACTGGTATATCCCAAGTGTCTGGAACAGAGCCTGAATCAATTGTGCTGATGATCAATGAAACACAAATACAAGCAGTTAAAACAAGCCTTCTGATGTACTGTTCTCCAGTCCCACCCCCTGGAAATTATGTCTGAAAGGAGACATGCACACACACAGGTATACACACTTCCATTTGCACATGAAGATGTTAGTGTGTTATTTATGTCATTCTTCAACTTGCATTTTTTTTAAAAAAAAAATAATGGTGCTCGAGCACATAAACTCCTTGAAAAAAGGAATACTTGCTATTTCTCAATGCTTAGAACTATGTCTAGTACACAGCAGATTTCAAGAAAAATTTTAAATGGATGAATGGATTTATAAATGAATGAATACATCATGGTCATCTTTTTGTTTGACATCCATTTTTCTTTTCTTCAGAAGACTTCGATTATACTATGTATACTCAGTGTACTATGTATACACTGTGATACTTTGAGACAAGAAAAAGAGATATTCAGAAAAGAAAAAGAAAATCTAAAAGAGTGCTGGAAAACAGAATAAGGTGTAATAAGATAACCAGGTATTTTGAGGGATTTGAAGGAAAAATAGATGGGTTGGATGGGTAGAGAAACTCTAGTAGAATAAATACAATGCAGAACAAGTCTAGAGAAGCTGATATAAAGAATACTGCTATACTTTTCAATGGAGCTCTGGGAGAAATTCCAAGCTGAAGAGCTACATAGGGCAGATGACAGGGTTATTAATGAAAGAATTGTTTGGGGAACTGCTAGGGTGACATTTCCCCTCCTACTCTCCCTCCCTTTCTTTTCTTCCATTTCTGTGATGTGTAGCCCTCAAGATGAAATCTGAAGAATGGCTCATAAAACAAATAGGGCTGATTTTGTTTTGGGAACAGCAGATGGGTTCGGTCCATTGTGGATGTTGGGTTAATGTTAAACTCAGCCAAACCTCAAGGTGGCTCTGGACAGCAGGACAGACCCAGGGAAGGAAGAAAGCATTGGGAAAGCAATGATGTCCTCACTTCTGTCTCCAAAGACATTTCCTTTCATTCTACCCACCCAAATGTTTTACCCAACAACCTCAGTGGTGGGAATGTGAGGAAGTTTCCCTAGGCATCTGGTCTGCCCCATCAGTGGGGAAAAAGTCTGAAACAATGCAGCTTACCCCGGAGGTAATTTAAAACCTAGAACCCTATACTCAGTCAAGTATGATTTGGAGTAAGGAAATAAAAACATATACACTGTACACAATTCAGAAAGTTTGTTGTCTTCTTATCTTTACTTTTATTTATTTATTTTTTAAATTTTCAATTACAGTTGACATTAAATATTCTATTAGTTTCAAGTATA